ATTTTTTGTGGTACTGGGCTCTGAACTCAGGGTCTACACCTTGAGCCACTCTGCCAGCCCTTTTCTGTAATGGGTTTTTCAAGATAGGGTCCACAAACCATTTGCCACTGGCGCCTAGGCTCCAAAATTTCTTAATTTTTGCTATTTAGTTCTGGTGCAATTAGAGAGCTGCCCCCCATATGATGAAATCTCTGAATTTGTTGGTTTTTTGCAGTAATGGGGCTTGAACTCAGGACTCTGTGCTTGCCACTTGAGCTTTGCCCCCAGCCCTTTTTTGCTTTTACTGTTTATCAAATAGGGTCTTGCTTTTATGCCTGGGCCAGCCTGGACCACAATCTTCCTACTTATGCTTCCCAAGTAGCTGAGATGACAGGTGCATACCACTGCACCCAGCTTTTTATTGGTTGAGATATGATGTCATGAACTTTTTGTCTGGTCTGGCTTCGAATGCTGATTGTCCTGATCTCTGCCTCACCAGTAGCTAGGATTACAGGGGTGAGCTATGGTACCCAGCTCTTCATCTTCTCATTTATTTATGTGAGAAAGGACCTTGCTTTGTTGCCCAAGCTGGCCTTGAACTCCTGAGCTCAAATATTCCTGCCTCAGCCTCCCAAGAACTGGAACCACAGGTACTTCTTTATGGCATCATCAACTTTGATAACTGCACCATGTTCATGTAAAAATGGTATTTATTATTTGGTTGTTGGTACAGTGTACTACATAGGTCCATTAGCTTGTTTAATTATATTGTTCAATTCCCACATCCTTACTGATTTTGGGGGAAGGTCATCTTCCATCATGTATAAGACAGCTATTGTTCCATTTTTAGGTGGACTTCTACTTTTGGTTAAAATGAGTACCTAAACTCTTGTCTGAACCAACTGAAAAACTGGGTAATATACATAAGACACTAGACATTAGGCATCAAAGGACAGTATTCACAGATAACACAAAACCCAGAAGTTCCAGTTTATTGCCTGGAGAAAACTCCAAGCCATACTGGAAGAGACAGAGAGCACAGGCCAGGCCTCACAGTTCCCAGAGTTGGAGGCCAAGTTGTCTGAAGTGGCTAGAGTTCAATCTTTCATAAATTTTTCCAGAGAACCAAGAGGGAACAACTTCTAGCTCTTTAATACCAAAATATGACAAAGGTATTACAGGAAATGGAAATGATAGGGCTCTACCTCTCTTAGAAACAGATCCAAGAAAAGCATTTGGCAAAATCCAACACCACAATTCCTCTTAGCATACTATAAAAAGGGAACTTCCTTAAACACATAAACTCACAAAAAATGTACAGCAATCAGCATGTTTAATGGTGACATCTGTAAGCTTTCCCCTGAGGTCAGGAACCAAGAAAGGAATTCCACTATAACCACTTCTATTCAACACTGAACCGGCCATTTTGGCCAAGGTAGTAAGGCAAGAAAAAAATGCAAAGATACTGTAAATATTGTGATGATCAGATGATATAAGTGTGCACAGAAAAATCCGAAAGAATCCATACATCGTTAGAATGAGTAGACTGAGCAAGGTTATAGACATGAGGTCACTATGAAAGTGTTTCAATATTTTAGCAACAAACAGAAAACAAAAAACCCAAATAGATATTCATAAAAGAGCATATTCAAATGGCCAGTATTTGACAAGATATACAGCATTGCTTATTATGAAAATTACAATTAAAACCACAATCAGACACCAGTACACACTCACCTGAATGTCTGAAAGAAGAAAACTACTAGGCTGACTGGGCCACTGCAGAGTCCACCTCTGGGATAGGCAGTTCTTCTCTTAGCTTTGTTTATCAAATGCCTCCAGGGGTGGCAGGAGTTAGAGGATGGTTCCTGAGCTGCAGGAACAAGCCACAAGTGGGTGGATCAGACAATAGAACCTATTGTATTTCAGTTCTGAAGGCCAGAATTCCAGAACAAAGGCTTCAGCAAGGCAGCACTTCTGGAGGTTCCAGGACAGAATGTTTCCTTTGGTTCCTGCTCACCATTGACATTATTTGACTTGTGGCTACATCTGTGTGCTCTGTCTTTACACTGCATCCTGTGTTTGTGCTATCTCCCCCAAAGGACACTTGTGCTGGCATTTAGGCCCCACCAGATAATCAAAAAAAAATCTCATCTCAGATTAAGTGCTTAATTTAATTACATCTGCAAAGATCCTTTTCCTAAATAAAGTAACATTTATAAGTTCCTGCAATTAGGGTTTGGTATTTTTAGTTAGCCATTATTCACCCTACCATATTTGTGTTTGTTATTTTCCAAATAAAGGAATGAACTAGTGAGACTGGTGAGATGACCAGGGGAAGGAATGTCCTGGGGCACATGTTGGGATGGGGTGAACTTGGAGAAGGCAGAAAGAAGACCAAGCTATCACTGGAGTAACATTTTCTAGATAGAGAGAGGAAGACTGAGAGGATATTTCACAAAGGGGCGCTAAATCAGAATTTCCTCTTCTTTGCCAGGATTCTGGTATCTGACCCCAGAAATGGCTGCATTGCTGGATACTGTCCACAAGAGTGGGCAGCAGGCATGTGGTGGCAGACCCAAGGAGAGACCCATTTGATCCCATTCTTTCCTTCTTCACTGAAAAGAATTTCCATTTTGTTTGGAGCATCCAGTTGCTCAGCAGGGGCAGATCACGGCCCAGATCTTTTTGCACATTCTGGTCATGCAACATGGCTTACTATGGAGATGTAAGCAGAAATACACAAGTGAGGCTTCTGGAAAGCTTTTGTTTTCTAATAGAAACGGACACACATTTGTTTCTTTTCCTCTAAGTCCCCTTTTCTCTTTCCTTCCTGAAATACTGAGGCCATGATCTGGGGCGTAATTATCAGGGCCTCTCAGCCCTCGACAGTATTACAGCATTACTGTATCCGTCCTGGACAGTTTGCCCATGGACTTTTCCATTTATAAGAGAAAAACCTAAATAACAGGTGTTTCACAGATTCTGTATGATCAACAATAGAAGGACGACCTCAATTTACCTGGAAACAACACAGGTGTCAGACTGGTACTCTTGATTGAGATGGTGTATTATACCATCTGTGCCATACATTCACAATACAGTGCACAGAAGGGCAGGGGTAGTCAAATGGAAGAGCACCTGTCTAGCAAGCATGAATCCCTGAGTTCAAAGCCCAGTGCCACACACACAAAGTGCACATGTTAATGTAGATTATTTATTGATTCCACTAATGTATTAGCAGATATGATAATAAATGATTTTTTTTCCATTTTCTTAACCAAAAATATAACAAATATTTACATTCAGTAAAAATACAAAAAGCATACAGAGGCACTGTCTTTCTAAAAGACGTAAGTTTAAGAGGTATCAAAAAATAGGAGACAAACATTGCTTGTTACAGGATACCTACAGTCACTGAATTGTGCAGTATAGTTGCTATTTGATTATTACAACTGTGCAATTTTTTTGTCTTTTGCTGATAAGCTTACATGTTCAATTTTAAAAGATCAAGTTCAACTGCATTCTGTATATTAAAAACAAGCCCTAGAAAAAAGCACAACAAAAATTACAGATGAACTGAGGTTCAAGTTCACATCTGAAAATGTACTGTGACTCTTTTCTGAAGACTGATCCCTTTCTTCCTAGCCTTTAATGCAATGCTAAAGTTATACATACACTTTAACATAACATTTGTTAGAAACTCTTATATTCAAATAATAATCAGTCTTAACTACAAAAACCTTTTTCTCCATGGCATTTTTGTAGGGAAAGAACACTGTATGAAAAACACTCTTCTAGGTTTGCTCTTAGAAATCCCCATTATGACTGCTGTATTTCCAACCTGAGAGACTCAGGAGGTGACAGAGATGAAAACCCATTCAATGATTTTTTTTCTCTGCAAAGATCATCTTGAATGTAACCATTAGAGGAAATGAGGCTGTATTAATTACAGTAAGCTCTAGTGGAAACATGTATTGGATTTGCCAATTATCCAATCTTTCATTATGAAGAAGATCTGGTGAAACTTACTGCTTGGCAGAAGTTTGCAGTGAGGGTTTCCTGCGTCAATAGTCTTGGCAGAGACAGAGTTGTGGCGGGAAGAGAGGGCCCTCGTCTCTTCAAAAAAGTCACACATTTATAAAATAAAAATGAGGACAAAATGGGGACCTGAAATAGGAGCAAATACAGGTTTAAGGCTTCCCTTGTTCTAGTTACATGACAATCTTAAGGAAAGGCAGAAATGTGCCATAACTTAAAATAAAAACAATGTGAAATTCAGGCTTTTAAGGGATTCATACTTATCAAACTACAACGTGTCTGATTTAGTTCTGACCAATGTGGTCAGAGAATCCACACACTCACGGTTAAAGCTAGATACAACAAAGGCAGCTACGTGGTACAATCCAAAACCACAGGCCCCAACTCTGTGCAAGACATTATTTACACCATGGAGGACAAAGGCAGGTAAGGCTTCCACTTGGTTTGACAGACCTGCTAAATAAACAGATGTGTAAACAGCAAATTTTTCTGGAATAATGGGTATAAAATGGTAAGAATAAATAGATGATAAAAAGGTGGCTATAGCAAAAATATCGCCTTTTTTTGAACATGAAAAAAATCACTATGTTAACTGGTGAATAAAAAAAATTCACAATCAGAGGAGCAGTTTACAGGCCAAATCACTACAGTGTGACTTAAACCAGGATTTTGACTCAGGCTACTTTTCACTTCAAATGACTAAGAAAGCTATGAAGCTTTCAGTTTAGTGTACCTGGAATTAATTTTAACTAATTTCTAACTTTCAGATTAGTATTTTCCCCCTAGGGGAATTTTTTAGACATGCTATTTTTCCTAAAACAGAGATAATCACTGTGAGGGAAAATGAATTACCAACACTTACTACTTGGACCTTGATGATGATTTTAAGATGAAGGGGATGAAGAGAGCTAGGGAAAAGCAAAACCCCTAAAAAGGCAGTCACAAATTAAATACTATATGCCACAATGGACAACCATTCTGTAGTAATCCCATTTTGGCTCCAAGTTAATCTGGGTAGTGCATATTAATGGCTTTGGTTTTTTATTATACTATTATAATTGGCAATCACAGAAGTTTATGAATTCTCACTTGCCTTTACACTAAGAAGCAAATGAACAAAAATAAACTTTATATAAAGCATTGTTTAATTCATAAAAATGTGAAAAATCTACTTCATTCAGCAAATAGTCACAGACATTTTAATTAAATACTTAAATTAAATTAAGAGTTTTGCCCAAGAGGCCAGAAAGGCATGTCCTCTCCAGGATAAAATGAGAACCAAGAGATAATCTATTTCTGTAATTCTAGCTCCTCTTCCTTCCACAGCATTTTTAGCCAACTATATCCCTTGGTGGGCTACTGAGCTTTACGGACAGGCTCAAAGTGGAGTTTATCAAGACTGGATGCAAACCAGTACTGTGAGATGTGGGGGTGGTATGGTGCAGAATTCTCATAAAGTCAAATTCATTTTACTCACTGTGATACCTATGGCCATACTTCTTTTAAACTAAGAACTCTGTACTTAATTGTGACAAATTTTAGTTTAAGGTTTCTATAGGAGCAGAATGTTCTGGAACTCATTCTCTATTTACTGGGTTTATACTGTTCATTTACAGTTAGCTGCAGCATGATTTCTACTTCAGAATTAATTTGCATATATGTTATTTAACATCAAAATTCCATTCTTGGGAAACAAATTACTACCTACCCATGCTACCTCCTCTGCCCTTTCTGAAAGGACTGACAAGAAACCCTGTGGCAGCTTCATTTTGGACCATGATCTGCAGGTTCCTAACACTTCAACTGCAAAGGCCTCCTCCTGGTCTCCTAAAACTGAGACCCTCCACTACATTTGTGCTACCAGTCAAGTTACATCTCTGTATCAATCACCTCTGCAAAGATGTCTTCTGTTTGGTTGGACCAGTGACAGTTTTATGGCCTCAAACAAACACACATCAGCTAATAAGAGCTCCCAAATATAAACAAAACTACAAACTTCAAATAATAAATTATTTTTCAAATACCCAAGAGTATCCTTGGTACTGGCAGACATTTTAAATTTGTCGTTTAGCCCAAGCTATGGCTTGGAAATAACAATACTACTATCTTTAAAATAAATTGAGAAAGGAAAGTTTATAGTGATATACATGGGGGTGACTCTGAGTTTGCATTTTTTTCTGTCATGTGGTCCCAAGACAGGTGTGCTGTGCAAAGTGTAGACTGGTATCCAGGTCCAGTATCCATAGCTGAGGAAACAAAGCATCTTCGGGATTAAATGAAAGGAAGTCTGACTCAGGTTTATCTCATTGCTCAGAGCACAGGGAACGAAACCTCTGGGTTAGCAGCAGCAGCAGCAGCGAGCTATTTGTTGGTAATGGCCTGTAGACTCGTAAGGGACTCTGGCCATTCCTTGATGCCTCTTCAGTGGTCTTGAAATGGGTCATCCAAACGCTAGACTGCTGACACCTGTTCATTTTCTGAAAACAGTAAATACAAAATTAACTGGCAGATCAGTGTGTTAATACAGACCAACTAAAATGTATTAAAGAAATTCTCTCAGACCATCAAGGTCTATTATTTTATTGTGATTACATTTATAATTTCTAATCACAGTGATGGCTACACCAAGAAACTGGAATTCCATAAAAGGTTTTTAATCACTTTATCACTCTATTGTTTAAAAGGATAAAACATTTATTTTTAATAAAGCAAACTACTTTCTCCAAGGTATTGCCACAGCTACAAAGTTAGTCAAGTGTTTTGCTAACAAGAGGTACTAACGAGCGTCATTTCAAGACCATTGGGCATTTGAAATGTCTGGACGCATTAATGTAAAACACAGTTCCATTGATGTCAAGTGCCTCTATCAAAAGTATCCTGTTACCAATGAGCTACTTGGAATTCTATCACAGACAAGAATACTGCATTTCAACCTGTGCACTTAGTACACAGAAACGAGTACACTGCCCCTCTTATTTAAAAAACCACCAACATATTTAAGGATTTCTTGTTTTGTTAACAGAAATTTTAAGGCAAAAAAACATTACTCATTATCAAAACTGTAGCAAAAAGACCATTTGGGGTATTCTTTAAGAGCCATTAAAGAAGTGTGTCAACATACCGTCCGCTTCGCTATCTGCATCAGTCACATCTAGCTTGGGATGGGATGGATGCAAATTATGCCTGTGAGGCTGGGTTATGATCTTCGATGGAACACAGGCCCCAGGGTTGCTACTGAGAGAAGCTGGTGGCAGCCCAGCAAGGCTGTTGTACATCATCTTTGACCTCTGCACTGCCACACTATAATCTGGAGGTTTTAGGTGCGGGTGGGGTCCTTCTTTTAGGTCCGCTAAAGAAATTCCCATATATCCTGGAGGAGTAGGAGGTGGCTCCCTATACCTATCATCCTTCTTGGGTGAGGTGACACAGTACACTGGCATGAAAAATAACAATGGAAATGTTAATGGAAAAACATAAGAAATGAAACCGAAAACAATGAACCTTGTTACATGCCAACAATAGAACTTAAAAACAGATAAAATGAATAAATTTAAATACAATGATAGGAGATGAAAGCATTTTTTTAAAGCTTAATAAACTTACTGTTTAAATTGTCTTTAAAATACACAAACAGTAAGCTCTACGAACACTCACTGGAAGGAGAGCTGAAGCAGGGGAAGCTGAGGACAAGCTTCCTTCTGCAGCTCAGCTTGTGCCTTGCAGGCGTGCATGACATTCCCAAGGCACAGCAACCTAAAGATGGCTGCGTCAGAAATGATTCACCCCAAACACCCACCCTCCTGAGGGGCAGTGTTTTCAGAAAGATGACATTTGGGCCACTTTTTGAGCACCCCCTGAGACAAGAACCACTGTTTTCTGGCACTTCTGGGCAGACCAGCTCTCAGTTCAGACATACTTTTCTTGGAACACTCAACCTAATTTCTTGAAGGAGCTTACTTCTAACTTGTAATTAAGTGAAAAAGAAAAGAACCATAATTTTAGAAAATTCACCTTAAATTTTTTTGATTTTCAGTGAACACTAAGAATAATATTGTTTTAAATTCTATTTCCTAAGTTTGTAACCCCCTGGAACTAGGGCAAAGCTTCCAAAAGCATCAGAACCATGAAATTAAGACCAAATCACAGAACCCACAGGACAAATGACTCTGAATATCCTGACTATGCTTTAGTTTATTTTTCAAATAGGATCTCTTGCTTTTTGCCCTGGGGCTGGCCTCAGACTGCAATCCTCCTACTTCTGCCTCCCCAAAAGCTGGGGGATGTCAGGCAAAGGTGTCTCATGCCTGCAATCTTAGCTACTTAGGAGGCAGAGATCAGCAGGATCCTAGTTCAAACCCAGCCCAAGGCAAAGACTTTGCCAGACCTGTTTTTGAAAATACCCAACACAAAACAGGGCTGGGGGCATGGCTCAAGTGGCAGAGTGCCTGCCTAACAAGTATGAAGTCCTGAATTCAAAACCCAGTACTACAATTAAAAAAAAGGAGAGAGAAGAAAAGCGGCGATCAAAGGTATGAGCCACCGTGCCTGACTTGTTGAGATGGGGTCTTGCTAACTCTGTTGCCCAGGCTGGCTTCAAACTTCAGTCTTCTGATCTGAAGCAGCTGGGATTATAGGTGTGTATCACCATGTCTGGTGAGAGTTTTATATCCTGGCACACCTGTGCTTATATATATCCAGAGTAGATGCCTAAGAAGATTTACTAAATAAATCCTTAGAAAAAAAAGAATGAGATAAAAACCCAATCTACAATGTAATTTGATAAGAAACTAAAATCAGCACATTTCTCTTTGAATTTTTAGTGACTAAATGTGATACCATGAGTACAAAATTACAAGTCGGTCATGACAATACTGATTCAACACACAGTCACAAAAGTAGAAAGGTAGGGCTACCATATCTAAGCACTATAACTTGGGCTATATTTTAGAAAAGTACTGGACAGCTAAAGACACTAACGAAGCTTGGAATGGAATCTACGAGTAGCTGACACATTCATGAGGTGCGTCAGAAAGACATACTGAAAATTTAGAATTTCTTTCTCTCTTTTTGAGAGAGCCCAGAGCCTTGTGCATGCTAGGCACATGTTCTGCCATTGAGTCATTCTGGGCTTAACACTTCTGTCACTTCTACTACCTAAGAAAAGATTTAATGTTCTAATCATGTAACTGTGGTCCAAACAAGATAAAAATAATCTAATAATTTATTACTATTGGATAGTAATGTGATGATATTCTTCAATGGAACAAATAAAAAAAAATCTTGAAAATGAAACATGACAAACTTGCTTCCAAAATCATTTACCTTCACCCCAGACTTTTTCCTTTAATGGCTCTAGTATCTGCCCTATAGCCCTTGAGAAGCTATGAATCTGGGGGAAATAATTTGTTTGTGGAAGGAACAACAAAAACAGTAGGGTGAGAGAATTTTTCCAAGAATAAAATTCTAGCCCAAGATATCCCAATGTCATTTTCTTGGTCACAATCTCTGAGTGCTAGAAGATACAAAACAGAAACAAAAACAAAACAAGAAACCACACATACTTACCAATTAAGCCCTTTTCTGTACTTGAAGTAACAGTTTTATAAACAGGGTCGGTGGTATCCTTGGGGTTCAAGATGACAGGGGTGCTCTCCAGCACTCTCCGCTTGATTGTCCCATAGTTTGGTTCACATGTGTCAGACAGAGAACTGGAAGATGCCCAACTCTGTCTCAGCTGACTGGTCTCTCGGCTTCCTTTACACTGTCCACAAGTTCTTGAGCAGCCTTTAGGGCAGGAACAGGGCTCACAGTCAGTGGGTTCAACTTCAGCAATGGGGTCATCCAAATGGGTATGTCTGTAAGAGTTCAAAAAGTCCCAGCTTTTTGGGTTTGGAAGGCTTTGGAAGTTGTCATGTGAGCTGCTTGAACAGGAAGTCCAACTTCCTCGACCACTGTCGGCCGCTTCTATAACAACATGCTCATGAGAAATCTCTTCATTGCTCACAGAAGACGAGATGGCTAAACCCTTGATTAAAGATGGTTTTATGAGTGTCCACCTAAATTTGGAGATAATACACCATTAAAAATAACTTACTGGCTCACTGGGAAATCTTTCTTCTTTCCATTGCACATAGTACCGCCTATAAGAAAGTATAGAACACACAGAGCTAGAAACATACACTGAAGAAGCTCAAATGCTTAGGCAAGATTTCCTCAAGATAATCAACTGATTTTAAATGAAAATGCAAAGATGATGTTTGAAATTAATAAAATTAAATACACAATTTTTTTCCCCTAGAGTCTTGCTACTATGTTGCCTAGGCTGGCCTTGAACTTGTGATCCTCCTGCCTCAGTTTGGGATTACAGCTGTGTAATCACCCAGCCTAAGTACACATTTTTATTTTTGGTCACAATACCACTCTCTCTATATACAGAATACCATGTTTTATTTTTCAGTGCACATCTGAGGTTAGCCTAGCAAGGTGCCAAGTAAACAGCAACTTCCCCAACTACATACCTACCAACTAAACAGATCCCACTTTACAGCAGAGGGCCCTGAAACAAAAGCTTGTGGGCTAAATCCAGCCAACAGATGATTTTTGTATGGTCTGGGGCAAAGAACAGTTTTTATATTTTAAAACAAAACAAAAAGCCCTAAAGAATTTGTGACAGAGACCATATACAGACTTCCAGTATAAAATATTTTACTATTTAGTTCTTCAGAAAAAAAATCTTGTGAACCCTTTATTTATAGTACAGAGCAGAGGTCAGCAAGCCTCAGTCCATGGCAAAACCTGGTCCTCTATCGGATTGTGTAAGTAAGTTTTCTTGGAACGCAGCCGTACTCATTTGGCTGTTCTACTGTAACACAGACCTATAGCCTGCAAGACCTGAAGTACCTACTATTGAACTTTTATAGAAAAACCTTGCTGAGTCCTGTTCTGCACAAGCACTTTAAAAACCTTTTTAAATATACCACATAACTATATATTAAAAATTTCATATTAAAGTAGATCAGATTTAATAGATCAGTTTAGAATCAACTTTCTCAGTAACTTTCATTTGCTTGATTCTAAATAGCAATTTAGAGGTAATCTTTTAAAAAAATTAACCTTTGCTAGTTAATTATTCTTATTCCTCAAATTATACTTTCAGAGATAAGGATCAAGGCCTGGTCCTTCTTCCCTTGCCTCTCCGTTATGATGTGCAAAGTACTGGGATACTTCCTGTTATACAACCTTTGTGAGCAACATCTAATCTAATACCCAGAATTTGAAGAACTACCTTTCTGATATCCATACCAAGTATTCTTTTGAGGTTTTCTTTTATTTATTTATTTATTTATTTCTTTTTAGCAGTATTGAAGTTTGAATTCAGGGCCTTATACTTTCTAGGCAGGTGTTCTCACACTTGAGCCACGCCTCCTGGGCAAATCGTTCATGAGGTTCCATCTCCAAAACAACCAGAGCAAAACGGACTTCAGGTGTGGTTTAAGTGGTAGAGCACCTGCTTTGCAAGTGTGAAGTCCTCAGTTCAAACCGCAGTCTCATCAAAAACAAACAAATAAAAGAAAAATGAGTGTCCATGTATCTTTCAAATAGTACTTATTTTCATATTCAGTACAGAGTATGTGAAGCCCTGAGTTTAAACTCCAGTCCCACTAAAACTAACTAACTAACTAAATAAATGAGCATTCATGTGTCTTTCAAATGGTACATATCTTCATATTCAGTACAGGGAGCATTCTGAATATCCCTGGCCCTCATATTCTTTCATGGAATGCCATGCAACTACTGCACTGGGGGAGGATGCAATGTCAAGGTGGGAACCACTGCATAGAATAGCCTTGCTTCAGTTTTGAGAAATAAACACAGAAAGATGCTTACCCAGGACCAAGTTGACTGTGGTCTCCTATCCCTGGAGGGTGATCTGTCTTTTCCAATGCCCCTGTGGATTCAGGGACTGTCAGGGGCTGGGACAAACACCGATCATCCTGTAGAGCTGCAGACATGGAGTCAACAGAGCAGTTGCTCACAATGCTGGACCGTGAAGAAATCTCGCTATGGCTGGAGTCAGACAAGTTGTCAGATTTAGCTGATGGTATAAGTGTATAACCTGGATGAGAAAAGAACACTGATCAAACTACAAAACAGGGGAAAAGGTGGTGGGGGCAGACAAGGAGAAGGTAAAGAAAATATAACAGAACAAAGACAAAGCAGTAGCGTCCTCAGTCCCCATCTGGATGGACATAATGGTGCCAGTTTTTCTCACACCCGACCATTCATAGCACAGCAATCTAATCCCAAACTCAAGAACAGATAGTCAAAACCCAGTATTACTGAGAACATTTGTTCAAAGGTATACATCTGCCCAGGGTCTCACAGTCTCTTGTAATTAACAAAACAAGAAGACAATAAACACACATTACAAATGTTAAGAAATATACATAGTTGAGTTTCTCAACTTCTTTTTTAATGTTACTCCCCTCTGTTGATTAACATAAATATTTCATGATCCAACCTGAGTCCAAAACACCACCTTGAAGTAGGGTGGGGATCAGAGTCAGAACTCAGGGGGAAGAACTACATTTTTGGCTTTTTAAAATTACTATACTTACCCCAAATGTTCTGCTTATGCCACCTAAGAAGTCTCGCCTGAGCTGAGTCAGTGTTTCAGTATTTTTATTTATTTAGCAATACTGAAGGAGAAACCCAGTGCCTCACACGTGCTAGGCAAACACTACCATAGAACCATACCATCAGCCCTGTTCCAGTACTTTTAAACTGTTTTAGATTTGGACATGACTTTATACTTAGGTTCCTTTTTCTCCCACCAACTTTGCAGAATATTACATTACACAGCTGAACAGGTTTATTACAACATATAATGGAAAAAACGGCTTACTACATAGCAGATAGTTAGAGAGATCTCTGATAGTCTCTGGAATCAAGGTGTAGGGATGGAGTGGGATGGAAGAATCCAAAGGCAAGTCTGAAGTATGGCAGTTAAATGTCATAACTCTATTTTGGTAATTGGAAATTATACTTTTGTTTAAAAATAAAAGAAAATGACCAAGTAATCCTGGCAAGGTGTAGGTCTCTAAGAAGCAAATGGTATTTTCTCATTCACAGGAGAGAGTGAGGTTCATTAGTGCATGACGTCTGAACCAATCTCTGGACATCTCATTAAGAAGACCTAGACTCTGGCTGTTACTAGAACTTCAGGGTCTCAGCTTCTTCAAACAGAAAGGAAGATAACCTAAGTCCTTTTCTGCACAACAACCTTATTCAATGCTATCATGAACTATTTCAAGGAGGAAGTCAAGACCCAGAAATTGTGTGATTTACACTTGGCTTATGGGGCCAAGAACCTGGTAAGCCAAGCCATGTTAGTCCTCCTGACTTAATATCACACATCTTTGAACTTGGGGGAAATCACTGTTATTTGTCAGTGCTCATGAACAGATTGGTCAATTTTTAAGAGGTACAAGAAAATGGATGTGGTGAGTAAATAAATAAAAAACCCTTTTTCCTCAAAAGAAAAATCATTGCTCTTTTACCCTATGGCATAGACTTGCTTCACAATTTCATCTTTGTATTTGTATTTCTCAAATGTAATTACTTTTAAGAATCACTTGTATTAAAATAAACATTCCTGGTCCACTTCTGACAATCGAAATGCATGGTATCTGGGGTGTGTGCACATAGTAATTGCATTTTTTTTTTTTCAGCTCTGGGGCTTGAACTCAGGGCCTATACCTTGAGCCACTCCATCAGCCCTTTTGTGATGGGTTTTTTCAAGACAGGGTCTTGAGAACTATTTGCCTGGGCTGGCTTCGAACTGCAATCTGCCTCCTGAGTAGCTAGGATTATAGGTGTGACCCACAGGTGCCTGGATGGTAATGCATTTTTAAACAAGTTTCCCAGATGACTCTGACCTGCCATGTTAGACCAGATCTCCTTTCCCAACAGAAACATGCAAAGCAGATGATGTAGAAGGCATATGTGGCAAAGATGCAATTTCTTGCCTTACAAACACTCCTTTGTCCATTAGCTTACAAAACAGTTGAATTACTAAGATGCCAATTAAATTCTCTGAGGCAAAGGTTGGAATCAGATTGTTACTGGGTTTTATGGGAAAAGTGAACACTGGTTCCTAAGAAGGTTCCTCTACTGATTTCACTCATAGACTCGGCTGCTACCAGCAGGAAATAAAGCAAACTACAGAGAACAAGAGAGTAACGTTTACTAACTCAATACATTAGTAAAATAACATGTACAAATAAGGCACGTTAAATCAATATTACTTTGTTGCTGAAGGACCTTTTAACACTAATCATAAAATGCTTATTAATAGTATTTTACTAAGTTGTCTGTCCAACCTTTGACAAATGGCTTAATTCAAGCTACATTTACATTAATAACACTAGAATTAAATAAGGCACTTGGTCAGAGCGTCTTTCTCCTTTTAGACTTGAATCGCGTATAGAAGCAGTTTAGAGCACTCCTGTCGCCTCGGCTATGTGAACTGAAGATGGCATTCCCTTCCTCCTCTCTGATGCTGCTTCCAACACCCTTTACTTTCTCACAGCTGTCTGCGGCTTGATGGTGATTTGCGTCCTCTTTTTGGCTGTCGACTAGTCTCTCCCTTGAAAGAGTTCTTTCCCTAAATCTTCTAAACGGGGATGTCATTCTTTTTCTGGTTGTGTTCTCACAACTTGTCCTGTCTCTATTCTCCTCAGTGGCCTTCTTGGTCCTGTCTGTTCTTTTGGCTGTGCTCCCGGTAATCTGAAGGATTTTCTTTTGCAAGTAAACCCCACCTATTCCGGGGCAGCTCTGGCCACTGATCTTGGTGCTGGACTCACGGGGAGGGGATGAGGAGGACCCTGAGAGGCGCAGCAGGATGCTGTGATCAGATAGGACACTGCCAACTGGAGGGAGAGATGCAAAAACCCTGACATGGTCAAGCAATTCTTGTATATGTAACATTTTACTACTTAAAACTTTATTATCTTGACAATATCTGAAAAATTAAAATCTAGTTACATATGACTTAATGCATGAAATATCTGCTATATAGCCATAAACACATCAATTATTCCACGACACAATACAGGAGAAAGATTACCTTAATCAGAATAAGCTGATGATAAAAACACACTGAAAGCAAGCCAAACTGGTAAAATCATAAGGATAAATATGACAGAATTATTTCTCAAATATGAATGTCTAGAATTTTCAGGCAGATTTTACTAAGAAAAAGCTTAGAAAAAGAAAAACAAACCAGCATATACACACCATACAGGCAATAGATGCATCTCTAAAGCACTGTTTCTGATGCTACTAAAGCTTCAAGATGGAAGCCACCTTTCTGTTGTTTTGGTTTCTGTTGGCAGCACTGAGGTTTGAACTCAGGGCCTTGTGCTTGCTAGGCAGGCACTGTATACTTGAGCCACACTCCAGCACTGGAGGTCCTTTCTTAAGCACTGAGAAAGGCAATGCTCAAGGTCTCTTCACCTCTTTTTTTCTTTTTTTGTAAGTTCTTACTTGTTTAAATTCTCCTTGTGAAAAACATGGGCCAATATTTTTAATTACTAGAAAACAACTAACTCCAAAGCTTAGCAAGAACTAAGAATAGAGCCTAATAAACAGAGACTACAGGCAAAAACCTGTCTGTGGAACTAGAAGTTCATTCACTGGGGCTTTGATTAGAACATGTGTGACAACAATCTGAAGGTTTTCAAGAGAATCTCTTCAATCTGAGGATTAGAAACTTGACTATGATAGGCTTACACATCTAGGAACACCATGGTCACCTGGTAGCAACGCAAGGAATGGCAATGGGGAAAAGCTCTCTCTATTTGAGGGGTGAGAGTGGATTTTTCTGTTAGGGATATTCCTGTACCTGACACCTCTTCCCCTAAGTCACAGGCAGCCATAAAACACCTATCAGTTCTGTCAGTTGTCTGTCTAGGGAACTGTCGAATGAAAAGCTTCTAAAAGGGGCAAGGGATGGCAAGCATTTCTGCAAGAGCATTTCGAGCACACGGCACCGTAGTTTGGACCATCTGACTGGATGCTTGCTGCCAGTCACACTTGTCCAGATGTGATGAGGGTACTCTAGATAGGACCAGAGAGACAGGTCCTTGGGCCTCACAAAATTGTGTATGAGCTACAAGAGGATCAGAAACATTTTATAAATACACCTGTTATATATGCTGTTTGTATGTCTTATTTATTATTGGCAGTACTGGGGTTTGAACTCAGGGCCTCACAATTGGCTAGGCAGGCCCAATACCACGTGAGCCATGCCTGTAGCTTCTTTTTTTTGCTTTAGTGTATTTTTTTTTTTTTCTTTTCAGATAGGGTCTTGTCTTTTTTTCAGGGACTGGCCTCCTACCTATGCCTCCTAGCAGAGATTATAGACACGCCAAGCATGTTGGTTGAGATGGGGGTCTCACCAACCTTTAGTCCAAGCTGTCCTCAAACCATGATTCTCCTGATCTCTACCTCCTGAGGAGCTGAGATTACAGGCATGCACCACCAAGCCTGGCTATTTGATTTTCATGAAGCTTTCCTTAGTAAATATCTGAATGAAGATTCTAGCCAGTCTCAATTATATGAGAGTTGAAAGGGCAGGCTAGCAATGGAGTTATGGTGCCCTGGGTGGCAATAGGGAAAGAAAAGAGACACTTTAATTTACTAATTACTTACCACATACTAGGTTTATAAATATTACTTCATTCCACTTTTATATGAGAGCCCTAAAATTGGTTGTCTTTTCCCTATCTTACAAAAAGTTAACCTCCTGACCTTACAAACAAGTTAAGTATAGTAATACAGATATAAGCAGGGATGGGGTCAGTATTCAAACTCAGACCCAACACTACTATGCAACAGTACAACACAGGTGGCAAAGGAACATGGGAGCTGAGGCAAGCTTTGGAGGCTTCGCTCTCCTGTTGGAGTGAAGCCTGTCCCTCTGACCATGTACCATCCTGTGTTGTAGTTATTGAAAGATACAGTTCTTTTATATCTATGAAGGAGATCCCAGCGCACACTCCAGAGTGTGGAGTGCACACACGTCTTAAGAGTGCCACCTGTGCTGTCAACACAAAATGGAATCTTCATGTACACTGTCCAGGCTAGCTAAAAAAAAAGCTTCTGCTTGAATTATGAAAATGCAGGTGAAAGAATTTCATTTTTCTTTTGGCGGTACTGGGATTTGAATTCAGGGCCTACATACTGAGCCACTCCATAATTTCTTGTAGAAATTTTTGAGAGTACTCCACAGAAATGTTCAAATGTAGAAAACTTTGAGATAACATCAAGAATCTGCACAGACTAACACAACTGACTTCTGTCTTCATTTTTATTCGCGCTTGCTCTCTGTCAAAGACACACTGAATACTGGAGGCCTAGTTACATGATGCATTTGAGTAATCCACGAATACGGAAGTTAAAAAGTAGTTTAAAAGTAGTTAAAAAGTTAAAAGTATTAACTTTTCTGAATGCTTTCTACTATTTGCTTATAGACCAAAAAGCTGAAAACTGTTGTTTGGCTAACAAGAACCAGCCTGAAACATTTCGCCCTACCTTTGCGAGGGGAGCCTTGAGGAGATGCGGGAGGACTGGAATGTAAAGATGAAGCCACTGAAATTGCGTCTTCTGTATGTTTCTTACTACTTACTTCTTCAGTTGGCCCTATAGCTTTCTGAGGTAAACATGCACCTAAAAAGAAAACCAAGAAGTGAAGAAGCTTCAGCTTACAGTCGAAACGTATGTAGTTACCCAAATCACTACATAACTAAAGCCATGATGCACAGTGGCTAGTGTAGTCAACTGAAATGTGTAAAATGACAAACAGGGACTAAATGACTGGGTAATGCACACAGAGATTCTCACCTCTAGCTCATTTGTTCAAATTCAGCTGGCCAGCATGCACCAGATTACAATAAATAGCTTGTTTTGTGGCAGAAGGGAAACCACTTTAACAGTTTAAGTACAGTACTCCTCTCTCCCAATCGACAGACTTGTTTGCAATCTTAGGAGAGAAGACATGGGTTCAAACTCTTCCCTCCCCTCTAGAGGTGGCCTCTCCAAGTCAGAGCAAGGCATATGGCAGGGGCAGTGTGGGACGTTAGCACTGTCACTACCTGTGCTGCAGGTAAACAGAAGAGGCTGAGGGCTGCCAGTCCAGCCCTTTTCAAGAGCACTAAATTCACACTACAGGAGAAAAGTAAACAACAGAAAGAATCATGAATTTATAGAAAAATAGTATGGAGCCTGCTAAAAACATTCTTGCAAAATTCTGTCATTACCCTTAATCCAATATCTGGCCTTGTTCAAGTGTTGGTCAAACTCTAGAAATGACTTCAATATACCGACATTTTATGTATGTCTTCTGTAAGATGTCACAGAGCTATCAAAACAGTTCTTAATCAGCAAAGTGAGCACAGCTTTGATGAGGATTTGGGATAGTAACAGGCAGTCTTTCAACAATGAAAAAACTTAAATCATAGCATATCTATACTACATGAATACAGTTTTAATGTAAATACATTACATTTATCCACAAACAACAGCCATATTACAAGGGGAAAGAAACTAGCTAGAAAGCTAGCTGGTACAAGCAGTGCTGCCTCTCAGAACTGCTGATGTTAATATCAAAAAGGTGATGATACCCAAGTAAGAAACAACAGCTAAACTTGTCTCTCTCTCAGTCCTACCAAGAAATCAATCAACCTGGCATTCGATTCTTTTTTTTCCATAGCCACCAAACTAGTCTAGCCCCTCAGTAACTTCCCATAAACTGTTATATCTGCTGCTTTCCATCCAGGCTTTCTAACTCTGGACTTGCTGCACTCCCTCCTTCTCAAACATATCTTCACCATAACTTTCCTTTGTTCAAATCTCTCTTTTTTTGGGGGAGAAGGGTGTTGAGACAGGATCTCCTTATTACAAATAGCCAATACTGGCTTTGAACTTGCAATCCTCCTGCCTCCATTTTCCAAGTGCAGAGATTATAGCTGTGTATCACCGTACCCAGCTTCAAATGTCTTTAATGGCTTCTCACTGACCACTTTCCTTTAGCATAGCACATTACAAGTCTGACATACTTATGACTTTACTTCCTGTACCCTGGAAGGGAAGGATGTTAGTATGTTGGTCAAAAGCAGTCAGCCTGGGCTCAGCTCTTAAGTTTGGTCACTTACTGGAGTGTTTAAGTTACTCAGATTCTTTGTAGAATGAAGGTAAAGTGCTACCATCTTATATGGTTATTCTGAATACTCAATGAATATAGAGTTAGGAGAGCACTATGAACCATGTCTGGAACTCAGTAAGTCCTAAATGTTAGCTTCAACTATTTTTGCTTCTCAATTCTCTACAGGCAATCTGTGGTGAGTCAGCAAGTGCCTGTAGCTCCTTGCAGATACCAGGCTGTTTCCTTTGCTTGAAGCAACTTTTCTGAAACCTTTGCTTAATTATTTCCTTCATCAACTTTTTTTTTTTTTTGTGTGTCTGGGCTTTAAACTCAGGCCTTCCCACTTGCAAAGCAGGCTCTCTACTGCTTCAGCCACACCTCCAACTCATTTTACTCAGGTTATTTTGGAGCTGGAGTCTAAGCAACTATTTGTCTGGGATGGCCTTGAACCACAATCCTCCGATCTCAGCCTCCAAAGTAGCAAGGATGACAGGCCTAAGCTGCTGGCACTAGGCTTTCTGCATCAACTTTTAAGGCTCTGCTTATGTTATCTCCAAAAAGCCTTTTTAAAATTTTTTTTGTTGTACTGGACTTTGAACTCAGGACCTTCACCTTGAACCACTCCACCAGCCTCTTATTGTGATGTTTTTTTTTTCAAGATAGGGTCTCATGAACTATTTTCCCAGGCTGGCTTTGATCCTCCTGATCTTTGCCTCCTGAGTAGCTAGGATTATAGGCATGAGGCACCGGTGCCCAGCTCAAAAAGTCTCCTTCTGAAGGCCTACTTATCTCTGCCTCTGCTAAAACCCTCTTGCTTTGTTCTTTTACATGTCTATATATACTCTTGGTATAGCAAATGCATAATAAAGGAGATATCTGTTTCTGTGAGTGTCTGCATCACTGGATTGAAAACCTGACAAAAGAGGGAGCGTTTCTTACTGAACTTTGTATCTAAAATCAAATCTAATTAAGTTTATAAACCTCTATTCAATATGTATTAGGTATAATACATAGACCAAGTAATAAAGATAGAAACCAAATGCAATCCAGTATCACATAACAGTAGTGATACTGGTAAAACAAGAAATGAAAGGAAGTTGGATAATGTCTGCATAGCCCATAGAGGAAAATAGTCATATTCTTTACATTTTATTGTCTAGGTTTTTAGCAGGGGATCATTAATGAATGAACATTGTATAGTCATTTTCATAATATGCAACTTGATTCTCACACTTTTTGTGGGTCGCATCTGCATTAGATGTTTGATTAACACACCTTTGAATGCAGTAATCCCTTGATGTATTGCCTAAGATTTGAACTAAATAGGCAAGATGTATTGCTGTATGTCTTCTGTTGATAAGCAGATTTCAGCAAAATGAAACATTCTTTTAACTCATAAAGGGATGGTCATGTTGCACAACCTACAACAGCTAATCTTCTGAGCATCTGTGATTATTTACCCCTCTCGTTCCCCTAGAAATTTCAATGAAATGAATATTAACCATGAATACTCACTCAGTGCAGAGTCTCTTGCTTGTCCCTTCTTCCTGGTGGGGTGCAAGTTAACAGCTGGCACCTGGAGCACCTGGCTCACCCTGTGGGGCTGATGCAGGTGGGCTTTAGTTGTTTGGCCAGCTGACCTCAAAGGTACTGGAGACATTTCAGATGATTTGGCTAATCTTTTCTCACTTAAATTCTTGGTCACTAATAGAGAGAGAGGAAATAGGTAATTATTTCTTTTAGGCAAGACTATTATTACCACTTACAATAACTTTGGGCTGAGGGTATGGTTCAAGTGGTACAGTACCTGCTTAGCAAGCATGAGACCCCAAATTCAAACCCCAAACTTTGGTTCAATACCACCGAAACCCAAAAATACATGAAACATTTATTTTTAGCATTAAAACAATAGACTAATTTTCTCAAAAGGAATTTAGGTATTATAAAAAAATTCCTAAAATTTTTGTAGAACAAGCTGTTACTGTGGTTTTGAAATCAGGGCCTCATGCTTCCTAGTCAAGTAGTCTACCATTTGAGCCACACCCCCAGTCATTTTTGCTTTAGTTATTTTTCAGATAGGGTCTTGAGTTTTTGCCTGGGGCTGGCTTCAGACTGCGATTGAGATGGGGTCTTGCTTACTTTTTTGTCCAGGCTGGCCTTGAACCATGACCCTTGCCCCAATCTCTACTTTCTAAGTAGCTGGGATTATAGGTGTGAGCCACCATGCCCCGCCTCATTTCTTAAATAATTCTATCTCCATTTCCATTATCACTCTGCTGCAGGTCTAGTTAACATTCTCTTATCTATACTACTAAAACATTTCTCATAGTGTATCAATTCCAGCATGCTTTTAAGCTATTCTTTAGACAAAAGTAGAATGGTTCTACTAAAATGATAATTTGATCATATAATTTTTGTTCTCTGTATGCCCTGTATACTTTATATTGAAGAGGAAGATAGCCCTGGAACAGGGTTGTAAAACATGGTAAACTGTCAATTAAAAGCTGTAACCTCGGACAGAGCTGTGAGGAATTGCCCATTAGAGCCCTGCAAAAGCTCAGGACCGAGATAAGAGGCACCAAGCAGAGATAAGCACCCATTCCTGCCCTTCTTTGTCTCCACTTGTAAATAAACTTCCCAAAGCAGGTCTCCCCTGCTGTTCTTATCTAAACAACACTAGGTTCCTAGCTCACTACCAGCCCAATTAACCTAAACAATCTAACTCACTGGTTAGGACACCATGACCTGAGCACATCTTTGTAACCTGATGCCCTACACTACCTTTTAAATATCTTGTGAATCCTTTGTTCAGGGCTCAGACACTGGTACACGTCTGGGCCCGCTAGCGTAAAAATAAAAAAACCTGAGTTCTCCACTCCTCTGAGTGTCGCTTGGTTTCTCCTCTGACTACCCTGCCATAACAATATGACTTCTCACTCCTTTTAGGAAAAGCACCCAAATCCCTAAAACAAGGCTGGCATGACTTAACATCAACCTGCCCCCTTGAACTATGTACCTGCCCTCTCTTCATTAGGCTGGAAAGCTTCCTTCTACTCTGTAATTCTCACTACATCTTTCAGATGAACTTTCTCACAAACTCAGGGAGTCTTGTCCTCATATCCCACGTTCTGCAGTGACTAGATTTGAGAAGCCTGACTAGAGAAACAAACAAACAAACAAAAAAGCTGCCTACTTTGCAAATCAATACCATCCAAAGAAAGAAATTTTTGCTTCCAGGCACTACTTTCAATCCATGGTTAATTATTCAGGATGGCTTTATGCAGGTGCCACCTCAGTACTTCACGATGTATTTCTTTTAAACATCATGATAAAAGCAAAAATAGATGTTGAACCTGCTTAAGCAATGCTGTGATAGTTAAGCTTTTATGCTGCAACTATGAGACCCTATTTTGCATGTAAGGATGAGGAAATTTCTCAAAAAGTCAAAACATAGGGACTCCTAGGGACAATGTGCACAATGACTCTGTCACCTACTTGAATCCCTAGTGCTGAGATTACAAGTGTGTATCAGCATGCCCAGCTACAAATTAATTCTTGATTTCATTGACATCTTAATAGTAGTTATGGTACAAAGAAAAAATCCTTCAAGAGATGAGAGTTCAAATATAAAAAAAAAGTTCACAGAATGCCAAAATCTGTATGTTAATTAGCAAGAATCCAATTCTATAATGCTCAGAAATCAACTCCTATTTGGGTTTAGACTGTCATTATTTAAACATTTAAAAGACAATTATGCAAATAAAGACAAATTAAAGGAATATGCATTCAATTACATTTTCAAGCCCAGTTTAGGACAGAAAAACCCTCGGGTTTTCTTATTTCAAATCCAACTTTAATATGTAGCACAGGACACCATTTAGTGTGATGAGAAAAGACCAGGAAGTGTGGGGAGGTTGTAGAAGAGGAAGGCATAGAGGTGTATATACACGGGTATATATAAAATAAATAACCTTCTATCAGACAAACTTCAAGATAATATGTCTATATCGAGTTACCTGAGAAAAAAGAACTTTGATGGTTATTTCAAAGCAAGTCAATCCACATAATTACTGAACTTTGATAAATGTGCACTTGGCTCTTAACTTTAAAATCTTATTACTATTTATTTTTTGCAGGGCTGGGGATCAAATCCAGGGCCTTACTTGCCTGCCTGGATACATCACCAGCCCAAAAATATGAATAAATTTTAAGTGTTCCATATCCTCTTTACTTTTGACATGTAACATTTTCACACAGCTGACACTATTTTTGATATCCCATGTGTAGTAAATTTTCCCAGATACCCTTCCAAGTTTATATACATTTTATATTAATAACAAAATCAATATAAATTATTTTAAATGGCCATATGACACTCATTCCTTGAGTACTTAGTATCCGAATGGTTTTTCAATGTAATTAATAAATATCTTAACATCTTTGTATAAGCACATTATTTTAGGTACATATCTCAGTAGACTATAACCCAACAGCGGCTGCCTCAGAGATGGCTATGAGGAGTGAGTAAATGGTAATTCTCTTCTTGTTTTTGGAGATAGGGTCTCAGTATGCAGTCCACAGAAAGCTGAGCAGATTGACTGATTAAGCTATGCTGCCCATCTGATACTCAAGGGGTCCTCCGTGTCTACAGACATGTACCACAACACCCAACTAATGACATTTATCAAGTGCTTAGCAAGGGCTACTGGCATGCACAATGCTCTTAAGAATTGTTAGCTTTTAACTATTTTATTTACCTCTCCAAATTTAATAGATTTGGAAAACCTATTACTACAGAAAGCATTGTAAGAAATAAAAACATACTCCCAACTCTTGTCAAAAGTTTTACATTTGGGATGAAGAGAACCTTGTTCAAATGATATTAACTGAGACTCAAACCCTGTCTCTACCCTTCAGTGTAGGTGTTTTTTTCCATCAGACTCTGTTTTGATAATAGTATTTATGGAATGACAACGGTATTTACTGAATGGCTCTTTTTACCCCTCATTTTAAAATTTACTGTTATCTCTAAAATTTTATAAAATCAGTATGTGGTTCTACTTTCCTTTTCTCTTTATTATTTGGTTGATGTACTTTTCTATTTTTTTGCAAAGACCATCCAATTTATCAATCTTAAGAGTCACGTAAGATTATGTAATTTTAACCTACAACTTAATGTAAGAATAATTTTTTTTTTACTTTTGCTTTTACAACCATATACCTTGACCCAGAGATAAATGTGTTTTGTTGTTTGTAGTTAAAGAAAAAAAAAAAAGACAGCTCTTGGCTGGGGATGTGGTATTGGTATTAAGGACAGAATCTCTTTTTTCCATTGTACTTTCCAGCTATTAACAATATCAGAATGCATCTGATTATTTTTTGCCTGGTTTATCTTACTGACACCTATTATCTCTACTGTGTTAAGTCAAATTTCTTGCATTTGGTAGCTGATAAATAATATTTTTCACTGAATTTTAAAAGGTAAAAATTTCACTTATTGCATTCTTCGCTTAGGGATGAATGAAAAATGTTCTCAAGCAGAGAAGTTCCTCTCTACTGTTCCAATTTTTACAAATATCTTTATAAAGCTATGTAAATAAGTACTATTTATCCGTCTATTTCTGACAGAGTAAATATCAGCAATACGTGGAATTCAACATCTGATTAATACAATTTCATGAAGCTTGGTATGTCAGTGGTCTTTGTGAGTATAACTAACAATTTTACTGGTATTTTTGGTGTTGTGCTTTTTAGTATTGCATAAAGGAAAACTTGTGCTTACAGGTACCATACGCAGGCTCCCACTGCAATGACATCATCTGGAACTTTTCTTCATCAGTCTCTACATCCAGACCAGAAAGATATTGCTTCACTTTCCTTGCCATCTGGGCATCCTCATACAGCTTCTTAGCGTTAAGCAGAGAGCTACGGCGTGCTCGTTTTTTGTGAGCACCTCCCTGAACATCCAGCATGTTTGAATTTGTGCTGCCTTGACTCAATGACCTGGAAGAAGACAGGAATCACAGTAAGAGGCTGTGAAGGTGAGAATTAAGCACAGGGGAGTGAAGATTAAAAGATTTCTTTCTGTTAATGCTATTGCATGCTGATGTAAATGAGTTAAAAGATGAAGAGCATTAATGCAAAGTAATTTGGCCTACATGGCAATGTTCTGCATTAAGAACCAGATTTGGCAAAATGCAGAATTCAAAAGAATACGATAACAATTCCTCCCTGAGCAATGCACTACATCAGACCTGTATTTGTGCCTATGCAACCCACGGCACAAGTGTGACAAGGAAAAAAAAATTCCTCTTGTACTGGAGGCAATCCACACACTGAAGAAGTGGCTAAAGCCTGGGTCAGGACAAGACTACCCTCAGTCTGATCTCTTTGCCAGTGTTCTGCAGCAAGAAGTTTCTACAGCAACTCTGCTTGTCTGTGCTACCTGGGACATGCTATTGCAATTACCACGCCTCCCACATGCCCACTGGGAGCATACTGACCAATTAACCAGTAACCGCATCTGGCGAAAATCCAAAGAACAGCCTTTTTTTAGATATTAGCTGAAAATAACAGCATGAATACTCAATTCAGTACAGCCACTCAAATATGGAACAGTGAGACATTACTTGGGTTCTAGAGGTAGGTCTCTGGGATGCTACTTTTGCAATGCCTCTGAATGTGATGGAACTGCAAGATGGGGAGAAATAACTACAATTCAGATGTGCTACTTTTTGTCAAGCCTCCTTATACAATGATGACATCCAGAACCAATGGGAAACAGCAACTGCAATGCTGCCTGTCTTTTCTAACAAGCCTAGTAAACGTAAGTCTTAGATGATTTTTACTGAAAGCAGCTGTCACTCTAAAATAATGAGTATCTATATTGGCCTCACATTTACATAAAATATTCTAAACATATACACCACAATCATACCATTTGTTTTTCAGTGCTCACCTATCTAGACTAAATCAGACACTAAATGTTTTTATTGTTAACCAAGTGAAACAGTTGAAAAAGTGTTATGGTATTTTCCTCTGTCACATTTTAAGATATTTGAAATAGGGGTATGTCTTACATTTGATGACAACTTTCAGTTGCCATTGGTCAGGCAGAAACTATGATGTGGTTGTCATGTCAGTACTTATGCTTGCAGAAAGGTTTGGAAGAAAATCTAATGACATTAGTGAACTACAATTTAACCTCTAGGGAGCACTTGAGTATAAAGAGAGCAAATCTTAAAATCTCGGCAACACTCCCCAAAGGTGTCAAAGGAAACTAACTATTTATTTACAAAGCCAACCTAAAAACCCAGAATCAGGAACTTTTATTTATTTTATGATATGCTTTAAAAATGATTAATTACCAGCACACTGGATGGTACAGAGGGCAGTACAATATGTGTGTGTGTGTGTGTGTGTTCATATGCGTGCAATGAACACTGACCAGAAAGTAATGACACTCAGAGGAATTCATTAGGTTCACTTTCTGAAAATTAAGAGGTTTTAGGAAGACCTAAATCAATTTACTTTGCTTATATTTGCCTTTTCACATATGCGTAAGGGTGTTATGTGAAAAAACCCCAAATTAAGTCCAAAGACTTGTAAGAGCAATTTCAATAGGCATAAAGTACAAATTTTCAGTGGTAACGGACACTGCAGGGAGCTTTCTTAGTGGTACATGAAGTAAAAGTGCATTCAGCAACTGATGAGATCTTGGATTTGGAGAAATGCAGTGAAATCAAGATTTTAGTAGTAATATTTGAAGATTTTAATCTTAGTTGATATCCAAAATAAACAAAAAAGAAGAGAGGGTGTCAACAAATCTAGGATACAAAATTCTAATAAATGAAAACATTATGATTAATGACTATAAAATATCTTTGAAACTACTTCCAAAATAGCAATACTCCCTCCAATGCAAAATGAAAATACCTAATGTTTGCAAGCACCAAGTATCAGACAACGCAAGCCCTATAGCTCAGTGAATAGTGACTATGTTAGCATAACTCATTCAATCACCCCAAGTGGATACACTGTCAGAGTATTCTTTATAATAGTGATGCCAGGTATCAACTTCTGTTTTCAGTGAGAAGAACTAGAAAAGACCAAGACATAAATGTATGATGCAGAAGGAAATACACAAGAAACACACAAAGAAGGAAGAAGTAGAAAGAAAGTCAAGTTCACTAAGTTTTAACAGAAAACAAGACTACAAATAAGACAAAGCTCAAGGAGGTGGCTCAAAAAATTATTCTTATTTATTTATTATTTTTGGTGGTACTGGGGTTTGAACTCAGGGCCTCATGCTTGCTAGGCAGGCGCTCTATCACTTGAGCCACTCTGCCAGCACAAAAAATTATTCTTAACGTAATAAAGGCACTTAACTTCATGGTTCGCTAGTCTTAAAATGACAAAATTCCTCTTATGCAACTCTATCACCCATAAAAACCATCTCTTTCTTCATCTATAAATGAAAGAACTAAGTATATGACATTCTAGGATTCTGTAGAAGCAGAGACCTAAACCTATTTTAACAAAACGTGCAGATTCTAATTCTATCAAAGCTTTACTGGAGTCTCAGGAATTAAAAACATCTAGCTCACTTCTATAGTATAGCTTAGATAAAGGTTCTCTCTGGAAAACACAACCTTTATAAACAGACCTCTCATCTGCTTTTCTTATACATTTACATGATATATTCACTTTTATAAACTATGACATTTGCTTAGGAAAAAGTGTTGTGGACCCTTGAATCAGATTGCCTAGGTTTGGATACACCATTAATGAGCTTTAAGACTGGTCAATTCTACTTTCCCCATCTGTGCCATGGAAATAATATCTACTTATAGCATGATAGGAGAATTAAATAAAATCATTCATTTAGAATGTTTGCATAGCTGGGGATTGACTCAAGTGGTAGAGCACCTGCCTAGAAAGTGCAACGCCCTGAGTTCAAACCCCAGTACCATCCCCATCCCCCCAAAAAGTAAACTGCTTAGAACAGTATATGGCACACAGTAAGTACACAACAAAAATCCTCTATCATCATCAATACCTAGCTGAACCTGCTAAATTTAAATCTAAAATAGGCCTAAGGGATGTCAATAGAAAAGTTAAAAAAAAAAACATAACAAAACAAAAAGCTAGTTCTATTACTACTTTCACCTTGTTAGCAAAAGGCATTTGTCAGGAATGTAGGCTGACAGAGTTAATAGAATGCATGCTATCTTATATGCGTGCATTAATGAAAAGGATGCAGTACATGTTAAGAGTTGCACAACCTTCATTCCAGTTGTGTTCATCTCTACACTTACCCCAGACTCCGCCACCTCTTCTTCCTGCAAGCAAGAGCCACAAACATTGAAGCATATGTTTGAATAGGAAAGCACAGAAGAAGACAATAGTTGAGAATCAGAGAAATTATGCAGAAAGAATAGAACAGGAAAATTTTACTAAGAAAAAAATATTGCTTAACAGTAAAATGACTTTAGTGGAATGCAGAGGGGTAAAATACATTATGACAGGTCCTGAAGCCCAAAAACCTCCACAATATATATTTTTAAATGTTTTAGACCAATTGTATTTTTAATACCTAATTCACCTGGAATTTTATGTTTATAAGAAGCATAAGGGAAAACATTTATTTAGGAGTTTATTTAGTACTAGTATTTCTTTTTTGTGGTGCTGGGGCTTGAACCCAGGGCCTCATGTATGCTAACAGAATGCTTTACCACTGAGTTCTAGTCCAAGAAGAGAATTTCTCAGTACTTTTTTGGAAAAAATTTTGAGCCACTTATTTTAGAAATATAAATTCATTTTGAAGTGAAGAAATTTCTTTGATGAAGTATTTTACAAGAAATTTTGGCCAGCTGCTGGGTGTGGTGGGTCATGTCTGTAATCCTAGCCTGGGCAAAAAGCTAGCAAGACTCCTATCTCAACCAATGAGTTGGGCTTGGTGGTGCATACCTGTCATCCCAGCTACAGGGGAGGCACAGGCAAAAATGGATAACCCTATCTAAAAAGTAACTAAGGAAAAAAAGGGATGGGGGTGCAGCTTAAGTGGTAGCATACCTGTCTAACAAACATGAGGTCCTGAGTTCAAATCCCAGACTAGCAAAAAAATAAAATTTAAAACAGGAAGAAAAGAATTTTTGGCTACCAAATACAACTTAAAACATAAAGAAAAATATATCATCAAGCTAGGTGTGGTTGGCATATACACTTGGAGGTTGAGGCAGGAGGATCATCTGCTCAAGCTCAAGGTCTGTGTGAGCTACATAGTGAGACCCTCAAAAAAAAGAAAATACCATAGGTCTTTATGCCACAAGCTACTGTTTGAATAAAGATGCTGTCTTTTAGTTTGCAAATGTTATTACTGTTAAAATTAAAGAGGTCACTTTACTCATACAAGATAATCATACACCACCAAAATGGGCAATTATTTGTTAAAAGAAAGATGTATTTCTGGACTGGCTAACAAAACTGATTCAGGAAGAATTCAGTCCAATCTAAATGTAAGTGTTTACTTTCCCTTATAACTTACACTATTCAACCCAAGTTATGCCCAAGAAAACAGCCAGGCTTACTGATTTTCACATCAGGTTTTTTCTCCTTTGTTCATTTCTGAAGTATAGCTGGTACTTAGTAAATTATCAACTGGGATGGCAGGGTCAAAATTCATTAGGTCTTCAGGGACCAGAGTGGTACATGTATGAATAAATGGAGGTCCATATAAGACAATAGGGAGTGGCAGGGCCACTGAACAAAGACAAGCAACAAAAACAAAAAGAGACAAACAAGCCTCCTCCAGGTTTGCTTGGTCCCTGGTTCTTACTCTTTTTTTGCTTCCATGTTTTTGAGCAATGACATCTCTCATTAGTGATCTCAAGGGACAGAAATGGGATGGGTAGAGAAGAGGAGATCTGGCACACTTCTTCCTTCCTTTCTACTTTGAGGAGCTCTGAACTACAGCAACCACCAGATTAACTGCTTCCAAAAACAAAGACTCATGAATGGTGATGTAAATAAACAAAAGCAAAAACAAACAAAACAAAACAAAAGCCCCAATCCTGACACACTCTGGTTCTGCATAGTTACAAAGTACTGAGTATTTTTATTTCTTTAGCAGAGTATATTTTCAAAACCACAGGAATTCTTGTGTATACCTCTGTAATTATTTATTTTTAATGCCCTATTACAGAGAGATACAAAAGAAATTAGGCCAAAAATTTGCACTATAAGGTCTACTTTCATGCTGAAAATTATAAAAATTACTGGAAACAGCTTAACATATTTGTTTATAAACCTTATACAGAAAACTGAGAAAGTTATTACATTAAAATTAATTTAAAAAACATTCCTAGAAGATCAGATTAATATAGAATACAAACAATAGTTCCCATTTTTAATCAAGATAAAGCACAATTAAATTTGTGTTTTTATAAATTCTGTTAAAGAACTAACATACAAATAAAGAATAGCATTATAACTTAAGGAAAATGAATTATGCCTTAGAAGAATGAAGTATGAATTAAATTAGAATTTAAAAACCACCAATAAAAATAAAAGACACATTGTGGACTAGTACTTTACGTTAGAAACCACATGAAACCATTTGTCCTCTGTGATAATTTCAGTAAAGATCAACTACTTTCTCATGTTTGCTGATATTTTATTGTTACTTAAAAAAATAACAATATAGAGCTACCCATATTCTCAAAAAGTAAGTTTCTGTAAAACTAGGGCTCAAACCTTGGCAAATTATATTAAAAACTGCTTTAACTTTCACTTTCTTCAGAAATAAAAGGCAGGCAAATGTTACCTACCTGTTAGGGTTACTGTGATGAATGAGTACTTGAGACTGGGATGTGTAAAGCACTTACAGTGCACAACAAATGATAAATATTACAATTATCTGACCACTCTGATGCCAACTTGGTAACACTTCTTTATACAGTTCTGTGCCATACCTCTGTCGGAACATCATAGCTGGGTCCATGTTAGCAGAAGTCATTCGGACAACTTGACGAATTTCCTTAGCAATCATTCTTAGCTTCTCAAAGTTTACTAAACCATCTACTTTGGAGTCATTTCCTATAGAAAACAAGTAACTTTTTTAACTTTCAAAATCAATATATCTTAAAGCAGCAGAAGTCAAGCTGTTACTCTTGGGGAGTACAAATGAGAGCTTTCTTTAAAAAAAAAAGTCCAGGTATTACTATCATTTTACTTGGCAATACTGGAGTTTGAACTCAGGGTCTTGTGCTTGCTAAGCAAGTGCTCTACCATTTGAGCCACTCCCCAGTCCCAGACTTTTCTTTATCAAAGCTACAATTTTATTTTTAATGACTGTTTTACCCAAAGAGGCTCTACCCTCGTTCTAGAGAATGAGCTCCTGAGAGAAACTATGTTCCCTATGAGAGTAATGATTATGCATACAGAAAAGAGGTAAACTGTGCATGACTACTAAAAACCACTCTCATTATCTATAGGCACACATGAAATGTGCAGTCACTCAACTCTGTCTGTGCAGATGCTTAGCCCATTCTCAGCAGACACCTATAAATATAGGTACAGCAAGGGTACCTTAGGCTAGTCAGTGGTCACAAAGGCTTATTTATTAACCTAACGTGAGTTTTCTTTGGTTTATAATACTTGAAACATTGTCAAATGAACTATAATCACTTAAAAAGTACAAGATAGTCCAGAAAGGTATGGGGTGAGAGATTAAATAATATTGGGTTTGTTTTCCAAATGGCAATAACTAGTTAAAACTAAGAAGTGGTTGAACCAAACGCTGACAGGGAAAAGGTCTGGTGTTAAAAATTACCTCAAAAGTCTGGATGGTGGAGTGGCTCCAGGGGCAAGAGCACCTGCCTAGCAAGTATGAGTCCTGAGTTCAAACCCCAGAGCTGCCATAAAAAAAAAAAAATTTCGGAGGTACACACTTTGAAAACGCGTTTTAGATGAACAAAATTTGAGATTTCCATTACCAACAGACTTGCATTTAAGAGAATACTAGTATTCTATAGGCCAAATGAAAACAAAAAATAAACAAGCAAGTAAATAACCCCCAACCATAAAAAGCATGCAACCATAAGGAAACTGAAATGTAGGAATAAACAGCAACAACAAAAAGTAAATATACATATGAGATTAAATACTGACTTTCTTAAAAACAGTAATATATTGTGGGATTTAAAGGCGTAGAGTTTTCTCTTTTTCTTTTTTTGGTGGTACTGAGGTTTGAACTTAGAGCCTTGCATTTACTAGCCTAGAGATGAGTAAATGGAATTTAAGTTGTCTAAGTTTCTTCCATTGCCTGAATGATAAACCAGTACTGATAAATAAATGTTTAATTAGTATCACCAAATATACACGGCATAAAGCCTAGTGTAACACTAGAAAAATAGCAAAGTAGTAAATAGTTACTGAGTGAACAGAGTAGGAAAAATACCATTAGCACATACACACAAATCAATGCAGGTAGACTGCAAATAAACCATATGGTGAAGATCAATAAATGAGGCTTTAAAACCAAAAACATTAGTCAGGCACCGGTGGCTCACACCTGTAATCCTAGTTACTCAGGAGGCAAGGATCAGGAGGATTGTGGTTTGAAGCCAGCCCTGGCAAAATAGTTTGCAAGACCCTATCTTGAAAAAGTCCATCACAAAAAAGGGCTGGTGGAATGGCTCAAGGTATAGGCCCTGAGTTCAAATACCAGTATTAGAAAAAGAAAAACAAAACAAAATAAAAAACAAAAGGAAAAACCAAAACCTTTGTTCACCAAAAGATAACCTTAAGAGAGTCAAAAGGGAAGTCATATCATACTCAGGATGTATAAAAAAATTCTCACAAAAATACTGAACAAGAAAGACAACCTATGAAAAACGGGAAAGACACTCCTATAATCCTAGCCACTCAGGAGGCAGGGTTCAGGAGGATTGTGGTTCAAAGCCAGCCCGGGCAAATAGTTCTTGAGACCCTATGTTGAAAAACCCATTACAAAAGGGCTAGTGGAGTGGCTTAAGGTGCAGGCTCTGAGTTCAAACTCTAGTACTGCAAAAACAAAAACAAAAACAAAAAAACAAAACCCCAAAAACAGAACAAAACCACAACAAAAGAACAGGAAAGGAACTCAAACTGATAACAAGTAGATAACATAAGAGGGTGCTCAACCTCAATAGGGAAATGCAAATTATAGTCACACCAAGATAAAGCTACCTATTACAACATGTAAAATAACACCTGAGTTTACCAGGTGTTGGTGAGGATGAGGAGCATGGGAACCTTAATGCTGTTAGTGGATGCCTAATGGTTTTCCAAAGTTGATCATACAAATATCAGAATCCACAAATTCTACACTGAGTAGATATGGCCAACAAAAAAAGCATATGCACAAAGGGGTATATACAAGAATATGCAGAGCAGCATTGTTCCGAACAGGTCAACAATGGAAACTACCAATTGCCCATCAACCAAATAGATGGGTCCATTATATTGCACTGATACAATGGAATGCTAAATAGTTCTGAAAAACATGAAAGAACCTCACTAATCCAACATTGACTAACATAAGCCAGAAAACAAATTATAAGAAAACAGATTATAATTCTATTTGTAAAATGTTCAAGAACAGTTAAAACTAAACTACAGCTTTAGGAGTCAGGACAGTAGTTACCTTTGGGGTAAGGAGGAAGGTAGTAATTGATCAGGGCTTCTGGGGTGCTTTAATATTTCATTTTGGGGTGTGGGTACAAAGGTGTTTGCTTTGTCAAATTTCATTAGTTTTTCATTTGTTTTGGACATTTTTTTGTGTATGTGGAGTAATTCAATTAAACAAAGATTGGAAAGAAAAATATTACTGAACAAAAAAAGCAAGTATGAGGCTGGGCATTGTGGTGCACATCCTAGCACTCAGGAGGTGGAGACAGGAGGATCATGAACTTGAGACCAGCCTGGGCTACATAACCAGACTCTGTCTCAAACATCCACCACCACCACTGATAGAACAATAATGTCGCCATGTTGTGAATCAGCCAAAATGGCAGCCCTGCCCTTAAACAAATTCCCACGCTCTAAGACAGCCCCACCCCTACCAGAGACTACTGCGCATGCCCTAACCTCCTTACCCTCCCCCTTCTATAAAAGCCACTGCTCGTCCAGACTCTGGGCTGCGCCATCTTTTCCCTGGCCAGCCTGGCAGCTTGGGCCTGCCATTAAACCTTGCTCTATGGACGTGAGCTTTCTCGTGAGCTTTCTTTGAGAGCTGCGTTTTTCCTAACAACCACCACCACAACAAAAGCATGTATGATCAAACAGTTTGATCTTTGTGTTTATATTTTGAATGCAAACAGTTAAGCACTTCAATTTGTTTTTGTCAACAATGTAGCTTTTAGATGTCTAAAATTTGTTGCATGTAACTATGCTAAAGATTTAATAACATGTAATCATTATATTGGAATATATAGTAAGTCACAATGCTGTAGAGTTAGCTGAAGCAGAACACACTAATTTGAAAATAATTTTAAATACCTTCATGCAAAAATGTCATGTCTTTCTTGACGACAGGGAAGAGAGGGATAATTGGAGGCTGCATGCTCTGACTACTAAGGATATTTCTGTATTTTGCCATGTTTCTAGATGGGTCAAAAAGGTCCTGTAGATCTTGGAGATGTTTCTCATATTTGCTTGGTAATTTTTCCCAAGTACCTCTGAGTCGTGCTACAGGTGCCAGGTTCAAGCCACTGCCAAAAATGAGAATAAAAGCATTAAAAAGTAACTTGGAGGAGGTGGTGGACTCAAGTTAGTAAAGTGTATATACCAAGGTTCTCTGATAATGCTCAAAAGAGCAGGACGTATCTTAACCAGTTGAAATAGAGAATAAAAAAAAATTAAGAAAAAGGCACTTCCTTAATCTTAAAACAAGGAGACTTCTTTCAAAGGTACTGTATTACTTACCTATAGTTGTATATCTACAGCCTTTGCTTTAGAATTTGTATGTACGTGGTAAATGTCATAATTTCATAAAATAAACATTTAATTTTCAGCCTGTTTTACTTAGAAGTAGTATTATAGAAATAATACATATTTGAAAAATAGTTTAGGTAATGCCGAGAATGACTTAGTAATGGAGAGCATTTTTTTCTGAGACTTTTTGTTCACTAAGTCCCTGATTCCAAGGCTTCCATGTCCCTGAATTCTAATCCTGTTTCCTAAGCTTCAAGATATTCAATGTCTCCTCCTTTCCATAGGATGTTAACAAACTCAGATATTCCCTAACTTGTAAAATACTTTATGTCAGTAGACTGCAAAAGATACTTGAGAGAATACTACAAAGAAGAGGAAGAAAGATACACATAAGCATGAGAGCCTAGGAAAAAATAAATATCACTATGAGACTAGACAACCAAATGAGAAGTAGGAAAGAACCAAACATTACTAACTTAGTAAAGCAGCAAAATTCTAAGTAGTATATATCTCTCAGTAATAAATGAAAGTGTAAGCAGTCTTGACTCTCCAATTAAAAGATGAAGACTGTCTGGGCACCAGTGGTTCACACCTGTAATCTTAGCTATGCATGAGGCGGAGATCAGGAGCTTGCCGTCTGAAGCCAGCCCAGGTGGACAGTTCATGAGACTCTATCTTGAAAATACCCCATATAAAAACAGGCTGATGGAGCCACTCAGGCAGTAGCACACCTACCTAGCAAGCATGAGGTCCTGAGTTCAAAACCCCAGTACTGTCAAAATACAAAGAAATAACCAAAAAATATGCAGATTGGCTAAACAAATTAAAAAACAAGATCCAAATAATTTTATCTACAAGAAAATCACCTCACTAGCAAAGACACATACAGATGCAAATGAAAGAACTGAAAACAGTATTCCAAGCAAACAGACTCCAAAGCAAGTGTGAGTAGCCATGCTCACAACTGACAAAGCAGCCATCAAGGCAGAATTAGAAGAAATAAAGAAGGTAATCACATATTAATAAAGGGAACAATCCATCAAGGTGTAACTGTAGATATACATGCACCAAATGTTGTGCAATCAATTTCATAAAATGAGCATTACTGGACTAAAGGGACAGGTAGGTCCAGATACAGTAAGTGGGTAGTTTTAACACTCCCATTCTCATCAACTGAAAGATCATCTTGACAAAAACAAAAACTAACAAAGAAACTTCAGTTTAGCTTGTACACAAATCAAAGGACTTAACAGACATGAACAAAATATTCTATCTAACATCTACAGAAAATACATTCTTCTTACCAGCCCATGGAACATTCTTCAAAATGGACCACAGTTTAGGACACACAAAAAATTGAAATAATTTCTTGTATCTTATCAGATTGTAATGGAATAAAATCAGAAATCAATAGCAAGAGAGAAACTATACAAACACATGGACATTGAAGAAAACATTTTTTAATGATTGGTAGGTCACTGAAGAAATCAGGGAGGAAATAAATAAGAACACAATTTACTAGAACCTCTGAGATACAGCAAAGGCAGTTTTAAGTGGGAAGTTTATAGCTATGAGTACCATTAAAAAATGAGAGAAATCTTAAGCAAATAACCTAATTACGTATCTCAAGTTCTGAGAAAAATTAGAAGAAGCCACACCCCAAATTAGTAGATGAAAAGAAATAATAAAGACCAGGGCAGAAATTAATGAAATGGAGACTAAAAGAATACTACAAAGGACCAATGAAACAGAGTTTAATCAAACTAACCAAAGTAGAGAGAAGATCCAAATCAATAAAATTAGAACTAAAAAAGAGGATTTTTCAATAGATACCACTGAATTTCAGAGAATCATAAGGGAATATTTAAAAAACTTATATTCCAAGAAATGAAACTGGAAAATCTAGAAGAAATGGATAAATTTCTAGACACCTGTGTCCTACCAAAACTGAACCAAGAAGATATAAACAACCTAAACAATCCTGTGATAGATAAGCAATGAGACTGAGGCAGTCATAACATTCCTCCAACAAAGAAAAGCCCAGGACTGGATGGATTCACTGCTGAATTCCATCAGACCTTTGAAGAAATGACACTAATGCTCCTCAAACTGTTTAGGGAAGGAATGGTTCTAAACTTGTTCTATGAAACAAGTATTACCCTGATACACTGGGTAAGATACAACAACAAAAAAAGAAAATTATAGATCAACATCTTTAATGCATATAGACATAAAAATTCTCAATAAAATACCTGTAATTCAAATTCAACAATACATTAAGATTATCATAAACCATGATCAAATTAGTTTCATTCTAGGTATGTATGCAAGAAGGTTCAACATACAATATCAATAAATGTAATACAGCACATAAATAGAATTAAGCATAAAAATCACATGGTCATCTCAATAGATACAGAAAATGCCTTTGACAAAATTCAACACCTTAATGGTAAAAGCTCTAAAGAAACTAGGGATAGAAGGATCATACCCCAACATAATTAAGGCTATATATGACAGCCAATAACCTAAATTATACTGAATGTGAAAGCATTTTCTCTAAAATCAGGAATGAGACAGGGTGTCCATTTCTCTCTAGTCTTAATCAGTATAATAAATTCTTAGTAAGAAAAATAAAGCAAGAAAAAGAAATAAGAGGGATACAAATAGGGAAGCAAGAAGTCAGATTATTCCTATTTGCAAGACAATATGATTCTATACTGATAAGACCCTAAAGACTCAGCCAAAAGACTTCTAGGCATAATAAACTCAGCAAAGCAGCAGGATACAAAATCAACATACAAAAATCAGTTGCTTTTCTGTGTCCTAATAACATACATACTGAAAAAGAAATCAGGAAAACAATCCCATTCAACATAGCCTAAAAAAAATGAAAGAAAACCGAGAAATCAACCTAACCAAGGAAATGGAAGACCTTTGCAATGAAAACTAACAACACTGAATAGAGAAACTAAAGACAACCAGAAGACAAAAAGACCTCCTATGTTCATGGATCAGAAGGATTAATATTGTGAAAATGGCTACATTATAGATAGTAATACAATACCTATCAAAAGTCCAATGGTATTCTTCACAGAAATAGAAAAAAAAAAAGCTCTTAAAAATTCATAAGGAAGCACAAAAGACCCAGAATAGCCAAAGCAATCCTCCTGTGGAGGTACCACAATTCCAGATTTCAAATTATGCTACAAAATCACAGTAACAAAAAACAGCATGGCATTGGCACAACAACAGACACATAGATCAATGGAATTAGATTAAAGGACTCAAAGAAAAGTCCACACAGCTACTGCCACCTGATTTTTGACAAAGGTACCACAAATGCACATTAGAGAAAAGATAGCCTCTTCACAAATGGTACTGGGAAAACTGGATATTAGAAATTGAAACTAGACCCCTGCCCCCATACAAAAAAAAGGATCAAAGATCTTAGTAAGACCTAAAACTTTGAAACTACTAGAGGAAAACATAATACTTTAAGATACAGGCATAGGCAAAGACTTTCTGAAGAGGACTCCAGGAGCTCGGGAAAAATGGCAAGAATCGACAAACGGGATTGTATCAAATTAAAAAGCTTCTGCATAGCAAAGAAAACAATTAACACATTGAAGAGGCAGCCTATAAAATGGGAGGAAATCTGTGTGCTATTCATCTGACAGGGGATTAATATCCAGGATATATAAAGAACTCAAAAAGCTAAACAACAAAATAACAAATAACTCAACTGATAAATGGATAAATTACTTAGTTCTCAGAAATACTGCAAATGACTAATAAATATGTATGAAAAAATATTCCACATATTTAGCCATCAGGGAATGGCTATCATCAAAAACAAAAAAATGCTGGCAAGGGTATAGAGGTGGTGGTGGGAAGAAACACTCATACACTGTTGGTGACATTGTAAACTGGTCCAGCCACTATGGAAATCACTTTGGCGGGTCCTCCAAAAAACCAAAATTAAGCCAGGCATAGTGGTACATACCTGAGATACAAGGTACTTGGAAGGTGGAAGGAGGAAGATCACAAGTTTGAAGCCAGCCTGGGCAAAGTTAGCAAAACCATATCTCATAAAACAAGTGCATTATAGACATGTATGAAAATTGCTAACAAAATCCATTAAAACAGAATCCATAAAACAGAATGCAGTAAGGTGCCTATGTACAAAACTGATATACATACCATTAGAGTACTAAGGCAGAAGCAACAAATAGTTAGAAAATAGAAGGATCCCATTCATAAAAGCAATAAAAGACACTAACTATTCAAAGAAATGTTTAAGGTTGTATGAACAAAGCTCTGAATTCCACAAAGGAAATAACAAAACCAGAACAAGTAGGTTAAGTGTTCTTGGATGGAAAGAGCCATTACTATACAGATATCAAATGTCGGCTAAATTAATTTATATTTAATGTAATCTCCATGAAAACAGCCACAAAATTTTTTAGATGAACTGATCTAAAGTTCATATGAAACAAACAAACAAATGTGCCAGAAATAGCAAGAGAAAAGTATGGAGAAATAGTAATGATGGGTTTGAGTAGTTCTACTAGAACTTAGGACCAATTTTAAAACTGTTTAGCAATTAAAGCAGTAAATGAATAGGTCAATCAAAAAGACTGCAGAAATAGACCTAAGATATGTATGAGATTTTAATATATGCCAGCATCTTTTAGGAAAAAAGATGTGATAATAATGCTGGGTAACTGAGAAGCCATTTGGAATAAGAAAATATACAGCCCTGACCCTCATTTTTCAAATGCAAGATTAATAAAGAGTAATATAAATCAAACTGTAACAGTATAAAGGTTCTGAGAGCTTTCAATATATCAACTCTTGAAACACATTTGTGAGACTGCAACTATTATGGTTCCCCCTTTTATAAATAAGGAAACTCAGTTTAGCTAGTCCAAAAGTGCCAACATTGGATCCGAACCAAGGCAGTTCTTTGTTCTTAATCAAATAGAAAATGTAGAATCTACAAGAGAAAACAAAAAGGTAAATCTATACAAAAATAAATGTTTCTGTATTGTAAAAGCAAACACCACACATTGTTTTAAACAGCTTAGGACAGAAATTTAGAAAGATCCATGAATAATGTGTACTCTACTATACAACAGAATATTATAGTTGTTTATAAAATGAGGCAACTTTATAGATATTAATTTGGAATAATCTATAAGATAAGCCAAACAAAATAAACCACCATGAGGGAGAAATCTGAGTGGACTGGGGACTAAATGGAAGAGATACTTAAGAGGTAATATGTTCTTTATATTCTTTGATATACCTGAATATAAAATGCAATGTAAAAATACAAAGCAATTATCTTCACATGAACTATGGAAAATGTGCATAACAATGTCCCTTGTAACAAACCTTTTAGGCAAAGCAAAGCCCAGTAATCAAACCATAGGCTTCTCCTACACCTTCTTGGGGCTTTGTCCACTACCTTATTTCAAGCAGTTCTCTCTGCTTGGCTTTAAGGACACTATCATGGATGTGCTGCTCTAATTCTTATATTGATCCTCTATCTCTTCTTCTTAGTAGTCTACACAGAGGATGACTACTATAGTATAGTTTCTAGCCCTCTACCATTTTCTTTCTAAACTCTTTTTACACGAAGATCATCCACTCTCAGTTGGTGTCAGTTTTCTTTATGAGTACTCTAAAATGGAGACTGTAATTCTCAAATCCTTTATTTAATGTTTCCTATACAAATAGGTTAATTTTCTAGCCTCCCAAGGTTTATCAATGGCATTGCTGTTCCCCTCTGAGATAAGTGGTGTAACTCCTGCATTTTATAGGTGAGAAAGAAAACTGGTCTTTACTTTTTCACTGACACTGCCACTTTATGGCAGGATTCTAATTGCACCCAACTAATAGGAACAAATATTATAAATTCTGAGGGGGATGGGTAAGAGTATTATGCTGCTACAAACACATGAGCTTTTAAATGGACCCAACTACAACTCCTTTCTTTAAAATCAGACTTGCTTTAAGAGGAACCCCTCTGTTTATCAACAGTGTCCTGGCTGAGAGTCAGAAAATAAACTACCTAGAACTGGCTTCTCACAATGAGGAAGAAGGTACTACAGACAGCTCACATAACCATTTATCTATCCTGGGCTTATATACTTCAAAGGATTTTTATAATTCCAATGGCTTAGCTTGCTTGAATGACACATCCAGTGATACCACATGTAGTACCTGGCTAACAGGAAGAGCTCACCAAATGGTTGGTATTATTACTACTTTTGTTATTTCAAAATATCAATTTTAGGTCATCAACACTGATCTTTTCAATGTCAAATAACTTCAAGGCAGGTAGTTAATTACACACAGTATATAAGTTTGATGATAAAGACCAGCTGTGGGGTAACATATCCAAAAAGGGTATGACCACTTAAAGAAGGGAAAGAAAGAAAAATGGGAAGTCAATCATCCATTCATTAAATAAAAAGGTTTAAGTGACAGAAAGATGGAACATGTAACAAACAAAATAGAAAAAGCCAATGACACCAGAACATAAAATACATGAAATCTAACGATACTTCATTGAAGACTTATCTTTTCCTAGGCAGAAAATCAGCTTCAAGTGTAATATCATGACAAAACCATACAGATATCTATACAAGTTTTTACAAACTTACCTTATTATTGCAAACATAGAATTGAAGTTCTTACACTCTCGACAATGAAGAGCAATTTTAATAAAATGCTTAATAATCTTCATTCGTTTGAGCTGGTTAGATTCAGTTAAAATCTCTGAGGCAACCCAAAATGTCTCTTGGTTTACAATGTCCTCAAACTCTTTCAAGTGAGCATTTCCTGTTTTGGAATCTAACTTAAAAAGGTCATCAATGTATTCAGTAGGCTCAATATTACGAAATAAATCAAAGTCCCTCATTGATAGCTGGGTCGCCACCTCAATGGTACTGAGCTGCAGCATGGATAGCTGACTTTCTTTAACTAGTTCTTGAGCATCTTCATCTGAACATAATGTTTCTGTTTCCATGTTATTTTTTAAATAATACCTGAAAGGAAAAATATTTTTTCATAAATGTGATCTTAAGAGCACTTTCCCTCTTTATTACTGTTCTCAAAAGTATCATTTTACCATTCAGTTTTTGCCAAAAACATTAGCCTACTATTCACTTACATATGGAATGGAAAATTAACATTTTAAATAAGAAGACTTGTCCTCTTATTCTACCATTTGACACCTATTATTGTAAAAAGTAAAAATAACTTGATGATGCCATGAATTTAATCATTACTGTTCATCAGGTGTAAGTAATCAGGTGTGTACACTCAATGAGGACAAAGCCAGGATCTACAATATTATCTGCTGTAGGTTGAATATGAAATGTCTCCCACAGGTTCACAGGTTTAACATGTGGTTCGTCCCCAGCTGCTGGCATTATTTTGGGAGTTGGGGGAAACTGAGGGATGTGGGGCCTAGCTAGAGGAAGTAAGTCAGTAGAGATGTGCCTTTGAAGGTTATACCTGGTACCCAGTCCTGTTCTCTCTTTCAGCTTCTTGGGTGCCACAATGTGAGCTGTTCTGCAATACCATGCTGTTCCCACCATCAAGGACTGAAACTTGTAAAACTGTAAGCAAAATAAATTCTTCCTCCCTTAAGTTGTTTGTGTCATGTGTTCTCTGACATGAACAAGAACCAACTAACAGAAAATTGTTACCAGAGAAGTGATGCTGTTGCTATGACTAAACCTGACCATGTGGTTCTTAAGCTTCTGGAATTAGTTTGTGGGAAGAATCTGGAAGAATTTGGAGATGTGGGATACAGAAGCCCTAGAATGCTGTAAGCTCAGTTTAATGGGTGATTCTAATGGCAGCTCACAAGAGCAGAGTACCAACAGAAATGTGGACAGTAAAGACTGTCTGTGCTCATGAGGTTTCAAATGGGAATGCTGGCTCTTTGGAGAATTAGACCAGAGGCTATTTGTGCCATTCTGGCTAAGAACCTGTTTACATTTTGTCCATGTCCTAAGACTCTGGGAGCCTGAGTTTAAAAGTGACAAATTAATCTGGCAGAGGAAATTTCAAGGCAGTCTTAGCATTCAGGCTGTGCATGGATATTGCTGGCTGCTTTTACCAAGGCTTACAAATGAGAATCAGGAGCAAAAAGAAAAGCAGAAAACTTGCAGTTCTGTTAAAAAAGGGTAAAGAAGGCATGGTTTCTGAGGAAATTAGCACCAGGATAGTAAACATGACTTGAGGGCATCTCAAGAATTGGCCAGATCCCACCTATACCTGCCTCAAGGGTATAAATGTGTAAGCTCATGAAAGACTTGGACTTCTGAACAAGACTAGAACTGTTAAGACTTTGGAGACTCCTGGAACCAGACTAAATGCACTGAGATGGCCGTGAGCCTTTGGAAACCAGGGGTGAAATGTTATAGGTTGAGTGTGAAATATCTCCCAAAGGCTCATGTTGAATGTTTGGTCATGTCAGGTAAAAGAGAAACTGACTAACACATTATCTGACACATAGTTGGTATTATATGATTATCTGCTCAGCATGAAGTCTGAGCCAGGCAAAATAAACACATGGATAGAGACTGTTTAAGTCTCTATTCAGAAGCTGTTGCTGGACTCATTTCCTTCTCTTCACCTCACACCAATTTCCAAGTGATGCAAAGAAAAATAAAGTCCATAAATGAGAGGGAAATTCTTCTATTAGTAGGTTCTCCCATACTAAACACAATTCCCATCCCAGCAAGAGGTAATCATCAACACCTGTCCAAAAAACTTTTACTTCTCTTCTCTTTAGAACACACCTCTGTGGCACTCAGAAGCTAAGAGACAGGCCGGAAATATACTGTATTAATTGTTATTACGGAAAAGAGGTAAAATATTGTACCATGTGTAGCCTTTACTTCATTTCTAATAATGCAACTGTTTGTGTCTATCTACTTTTTTATTCTCATAGAACTATAACTCCTTTTTCTGTCTTCATAATGTTCATGTTTAAGAAATGGTATGACAGGAGTTGAAACACCATGCTAGAGAAAATTTCATCTAACATTTATAGGTTTTTTTTTTTTAACTCATTTAATCCTTGCAATATGCCCATTTTACAGGTGAGAAAATTCAGGCAAAGAAACTCTGAAGAACTTGTCCAAGGTAACACAGCAGAGCTGGGGTTTGAATTGGGGCAGTCTGGCTCCAGTGAATATGTCCTTAACTACTATGTGCAGCCTGCAAAGCAGACCTCACTTACCCTCTCTTCAAAGGCAACCAGGATGGACAGTCATTTTAAGGTTTCTAAAGATGATGTTCTACATGTAAATCTGTGTCACTAAAAAAATTCTCTAAAAGAAAGTAACCAGAGAAAAGAACAAATGTGCTACCAAACAATCTTGTAGATTATCAAGTAATTTTCAGAGCACATTTTCAAAATATAATTTTCCTGTATTTATAAAGAGAATGTTACTTAGAAAAAGAATATGAAAATGGTGTTTCTTTTTTTTTTGCCCAATGTATCCCTAGTCATATTAAAAACAAATTCATAAATGAATACATATGCATATTTAGTTTATATACATATATATATAAAGATTTGGGACACTTGATTTTTCCTCTGCAAAGAAAAAACAGGGACTAGAGTACATTAGCAGGAGTGCTTAAAAACTTGGCCAAACTGTTCTTTCATTCTCCTCACTTTAGTGCAGCTTTTAAGAATACCTCATGATTCCATTTGCATAGTTATGGAGGTAAGAAAAACTTGGAGAAAAGAAATTCTACATTAATTTTAGAGAATTCAGTAGCAATAAAACATGGTGTTCCTACTTATAATACCTGTTGTAACAGGGAATCTTCAAAATCCACATCTACATATAAGCACATTTTCTTTTATTATTCATATGTGCATACAAGGCTTGGTTCATTTCTCCCCCGCCCCCACCCCCTCCCTTACCACCCACTCAGCCTCCTCCCTCTCCCCCCACCCTCAATACCCAGCAGAAACTATTTTGCCCTTATTTCTAATTTTGTTGTAGAGAGAGTATAAGCAATAACAGGAAGGGACAAGGGTTTTTGCTGGTTGAGATAAGGATAGCTATACAGGGAGTTGACTCACATTGATTTCCTGTGCGTGGGGGTTACTTTTTAGGTTAATTCTTTTTGATCTAACCTTTTCTCTAGTACATGTTCCCCTTTTACTATTGGCCTGTTACTTTTAAGGTATCTGCTTTAGTTTCTCTGCGTTAAGGGCAACAAATGCTAGCTAGTTTTTTAGGTGTCTTACCTATCCTCACCCCTTCCTTGTGTGCTCTCACTTTTATCATATGCTCATAGTCCAATCCCCTTGTTGTGTTTGCCCTTGATCTAATGTCCACATATGAGGGAGAACATACGATTTTTGGTCTTTTGGGCCAGGCTAACCTCACTCAGAATGATGTTCTCCAATTCTATCCATTTACCAGCGAATGATAACATTTCGTTCTTCTTCATGGCTGCATAAAATTCCATTGTAAGCACATTTTCTAATAAGCTTATTTACCTTCCATTGAGTTGAATTCTATCAGCTAATTTGGAGAACTGGTCCGGAAGTCTTCTCTGCTTTATGACACCCTCAGGAGTAACAGAAACTTCACAGAGAGAATATGTGTCAGATGCACCAGTCAAGCCAAATTCATGAACAGCATGACAAACTACTTCTTTAGCTGTTGTGTCTTTACTGATGATAATGTAGCAACTTTGTTGATCTGCTTTGAAAACTCTTATAACTTGGTCAGGAATATCTGTATTAATACAAAAACATGCCTTATTATTTTCAAGAAAATTACCTTTAAAACTCTTCAGAAACCAGTATGGAACATAAGGATTCATCTAAACATTGAAATATACATTTCTATTTCATGAAATCAACAGAAATCACAGCTGCATTTATTGGTAAAAACGTATCCATTTTTTCAGGTGACAATATACTAATAAATGTTAGCAAAGATAAAGATTAGGATATTATTATATGATTTGGATGACACAATTTTTTTTCATTTACTGTATTATAACATTTTGATGTCACTCTGTGAAGTAGTCCATAATATGTATTTTATATGCTTTAATTAAACTCCTAATGATAGACATTTAAATTGCTTACTATTTTCCATCATATTAAGACATTATGATGCAGAACCCCATAAAGCAGGTAAGTTTTTGCAGGGAACCTGATTATTTCCTCAGTGAAAGCCCTCAAAAAGAGAATGCTAATTTACAGGCATGTATATTTTCAAGGTCTTTGAAAACATATTGCCAAGCTGTTCCCCAGAGGTAATATTTTATAATCCTAGAATGTATGAGACCAAATTTGATCATATCCTTATTAAAACTATTAACAAAATGTTTTGTTTTACTTCTTCATTGTGAAAGTTTATTCTGTTCCTCTCTCCAAAAGTATGTCCATATTTCATTTTCATTTCTTTGGTTACTAGTGAGATTCAGTAGCTCGTGTATGTACACGTATGTATTTTTGGCGGGACTTAAGTTTGAAGTCTTGTTTATTAGATAAGCACTCTTTCACTTGAGCCATGCCTCTCAGGCCTTTTTCCTTAGGATCTCCCTTTTTGTCTGAGGCTGGCCTCTGAACAAGATTCTCCTATCTATGGCCTCCCATGTGGATTATAGTGTGCATTATGCTTGGCTTGTTGGTTAAGATGGGGTCTCTGAAACTTTTTCCCTGGGCTTGCCTTGAATGATTATCTTCCCAATTTTAGCCTATGGAGTAACTAGGATTGCAGCTAGGATTACTGGTGTGAACCTCTGTTCCTAGTCGGTACTAGTTTAACCAACCATTAGTATTTCTTCTTTTAAAATTATTTTGATATCCTCTATGCTTTTTCCTACTGAATTATATTAGACACCAACACTTATTTTACTGGAGGATTGCAAACTCACTTTTTGTAGTGTTCATATAGTTAAATATCTCAATCTTTCACCTTGTGATTTGTGCCACTATAAATTCAATCTCAAGATAATGTTTTTATGATATACATCAACATGTAAATGTAAATGATATGTCCTCTTCCTCTCTTATTTCCTTTTTTCATCATATAGCATTGGCTGAAGTTTCCTGAACAAGTTTTCTGTGGTGACAGTAATTTTTTTGTTTTCACAAGGCTTTGCACTTGTGAACCAGGCACTCTATCACTTGAGCCATTCTGCCAGCCCTTTTTGTGTTGGAACATTTTCAAGATAAGGTCTTGAGAACTATTTGCTCAGGCTGGCTTTGAACTGTGATCCTCCTGACCTTTGCCTCCTGAGTAGCTAGGATTACAGTCGTGAGCCACCAGCGCCTGGCCCTAGCCCATAAACTTTAATGTTATTAAATGGAATTGAAAAGTGATTTGATAGCATAAGTAAATGCTAATTTCCCCCTATTAAAATAAACTGCTGTTGCAAAAATTCCTTTTTTTTACTGTGGATTTGTTTCTGATGACTATAATACAGCTGGGTTAGGGAGATTTTGGTGACTTAAGTAATTTTATCCTGTTGTCCAACATCAACTTCTTAGTATTATACACACTAACAGTTTTCAGAGAAAAAAATGTACAAATTTGTTTCAGAAGGTGAGAGTAATGAAGCATATATGGCAGGAAAAAATTTAATAGAATAAAGAATCTCTATCTCTTGAGAATGAGAACACAAAAAGACAGAGACTGGCTCTCGGAACTGGAAATTTTCACTGAATATATATGAGTGGAATTCCAGGAGAAGGAGTCTTAGCCACTAGCTGTTGGATGCTCAAGTTGGAAGCAGAATGCTTCATCTATTAAGGTTTCTATTTTAAGAAGGAAGCACCAAACTTTCTTTTCTCGATGTATTCAAAGATCTGAGTCATCCAATGCCTCTAGTTCAGATTTCTTGCCAATGAGTCAATCCTAGTGTGCTGCTGATAGCATTTGATCTCTAAATCTAATTTAGATTTCTAAACCTGCAAAGTTCAAGGTCAGACTATTTTATGACTCACCAAAATTAGAGCCACTTCTCTGTCCTGTGTTAAAAAAATACTGAAAGCAGACAGAAATTTTGGTTTGCTAGGAGAAAGAAAGTGTACAAGGGTTACTATCCCTTTAACTCTTTTAAAAAAGAATCAAACATTGTATTGTTATTACTTGTATCGTTCCTACAAGTGAACAGAAATGGATCTGTTCACTAGAACTTTGGAGGTTGAGCCTCAGCAAGTGATACTGGCTGACAGTGAAGGTGAGATGTCCTTACTTCTTTTATTACTTTCTTCAGAGGGTTCTACTCACAAAGACAAGATGAGAATTTGCAAAATTTCATGTTCTTTTTCCCTGTGGTTGTAACATTCTCTGGCAAGGAACACACAACTGTCTATCTTGCTGAACAAGGTTAAAAAACTATATTCTGTTAAAATCCTTTGTTCCTCATGTGAAAGACAAATTTTTCTGTAGTCCAGTGTCATAAGAGGGTAGGTACCTTTAGAACAGATCTGCAGATGGGATTATCCAAACCCTGATGAGTTTGCCAAGGTAAAGAATGTTAACTTGAAAGAGTCAGAGAAGATAGGCACTGGCGGCTCATGCCTGTAATCCTAGCTACTCTGTGGGCAGAGACTTGGAGGATTGCTGCTCCAAGCCAGCCTGAGCAAATAGTTGGAGGGACCCTATCTTAAAAAAAATCCATCACAAAAAAGGGCTGGTGGAATGGCTCAAGGTGTAGGCCCTAAGTTCAAACCCCAGTACTACTGCTATTTTAGAATTGCTACATATATTCTTTTTTTTTATCATTCATATGTGCATACAATGCTTGGGTCATTCCCCCCCACCACACCCCACCCCCTCCCTTACCACTCACCCCAGCCTCTCCCTCTCCCCCCTACCCCCTCGATACCTGGCAGAAACTATTTTGCCCTTATCTCTAATATTGTTGAAGAGAGAGTATAAACAATAATAGGAAGGAACAAGGGTTTTTGCTAGTTGACATAAGGATAGCTATACAGGGAGTTGACTCACATTAATTTCCTGTGCATGTATTATATATTCTTTTGAAACGTATTTGTTGTCAGTGGGAGAACAACACAGAAAGCACATGGCAGATACTTTGAGATGTTAATTGGTCAGTTGAATAGCATAAACCTCAACCAAAAAGCAAAAATAATCTAATCATCTAAAATTTTAGGCATGAAGCTAAAATGCACATGAAAATAGTTTTATTTTAGGGGCAAAGGAGATGTTTTAAAAAGATCTTGGAAGTGTACAGGATTTATTAATCCCAAGAGTCACATTTTACTTTCAAGAATTCTTACATAATAGGTAATGAAATAAACAACAGAAATTCCAGATATCTGGACTTTCAACCTAGGAACACAATTTCATGCTAACTATGACCGTGAATGAATAAAATAAAAAATGTCAATACTTTAGGAATGTATGTATTGACCATGAGATTACAATAAAAATGAGAGAAATTTTAGGTATTTAAGAAGATCTTAAAAAAAAAGGCTGTTTTTAAATTCTGCTTTAAATTCGTAATTGTGAACAAATATTATGGAGTGCATGTTACGAGTCCAGGCATTCAGGTGATAGATGAGATAAAGTCTGCTCTTAGGAAACTGACTTACATTTAAGAAAGTAAGGAGTGGCTCAAGGAAAAACAGTAAGCTAACAAGACAATCCATGTAGTGGAAAGACACAAAGAAAGCAAAGGAGAGTGGGATGATGGAACAGATTAGGAATTGGCACACCTATTTTACAAAGGGCCAAACAGTAACTATTTTAAGTTTTGTGGGCCAAGAAGCAAAGTCCACATTTTATAGGTACTTTCATAATAAGAGAGAAAACAAATTTTCACAATTTTTGTTTGGGTGTACTGGGGTTTTAACTGAAGGCCTCACGCTTGCTAGGCAGTTGCTCTATCACCTAGGCCATTCCTCTAGTCCCACAAAATTTTTATTAATAAAATTAAAAATGCAAATATAAACACACAGAGATACATGAAAAGAGATGCAGGCAATACTGGAAACATCCACTAATAGGGAACTGATTAAAAGAATTTTATTAGCTGTTTAAAATTTCTTGGTACAATATCACATCCCGATATAGAAGAGTACTCAAGGTATTTTGCTAAGTGAAATGAGTAAGGGGAAGGATAACCCATCATTTGGGTTGAAGAAATAGTTAATTTATGAACAAACTTATAAGGATATTAACAACTGTGAATTCTGAGGAATGGAGACACTTATACATATCCTTTCTCTGAAGTTTGAATAAAAAAAAAGATTATATGTTCCTTTATAATTAAAACTAGCAAAAAGAGCTTTGGCTTTCAATGCAGAAAGAGTTAAGTTTGCTGCATTAAATAAATAAAATAAAGCTTTGTACTATTAAATGAAAAAGTAAGCAAAAAGTTGTATGTGCAAACTTAGGAAAAAAATATTTGGCCTGGTGGAATGGTAGAGTACCTGCCTAGCAAGTGCAAGGCCCCGAGTTCAAACTCCAGTATCACCAAAAAATAAAAAATAGTGCTGTAATAAACATGGGAATGCAGTTACCTTTTTAAAAAATTCAGATTCAATGCAGAAAAAGCCTTTGATAAGATCCAACATCATTTCATGATAAAAGCTCTAAGAAAACTAGGAATAGAAGGAAAGTACCTCAACATTATATAAAGCTATATATGACAAACTACAGCCAGCATTATACTTAATGGAGAAAAAACTGAAACCATTCCTCTAAAATAGGAACCAGACAAGGAGCCCACTTCCCCATCCTATTCAACA